AAAGAAAGTTCAAGTGATGGGAAGATAGACTGGACTAGAATTGCAAAACTATGTGAAATTTCCCCAACCCAGTTCTAAATTGCCCTAATTTATAGTGGGAGGCCCCACCATATATTTTTGGCAAAGCTGTTAAATTATGAGCAAGTGGATGAATGGGACCTGGTTAGCTCTGCCTTCAGCCATGATGATCTTTCAATGTTATTGCTTGAGATGGTTAATGGGGAGGTGGCGCATTGAATAGAAACTGCTGCAACAACTCCATTCTTCCCCAGTGGCCTTGTCCCAAGGCACTTGTACTATTTCTTCCAAGTTCACTGGGTATTGGATGAAGACCCAGTGCTGCCTTTTCCTCTTGGCCATCGTTTTGCTAAACCAAATTCCTTCCTTGCATTCATTCTTTTCTAGACCAGTGTTTGCAAGTTCATTTCATAACAGAATGCTGGCATTTAATTGGCAGGTGGAGTCAGTAGCTCTTCTGTTCCAGTTCCCTTAATCATGCCACTAATTCAAGTAGCTTGTGAAATGCTTTCTCAGGCTCTCCCTTACCCTCCCTATCCTTTCCATACTATCTGAGCAGCATCCCATCAGAAATTCAAAATAAATGGGTGCAGGAATGGCCAGGTCATGGAAATAGGCTTGATAAGAGATCTAGAAAAGTTTGTCCTCCAGTAATTAGACATGTTTGATCTCTAATAAGAAAGCTTAGGTATGATTTGGTATATAGCCCCTGATCACTCAGTTGCCGTCATCTTCAAGTAGAATGACGAAAGACATTCTGGAGAATGTCTGAAACTCTGGAGAGCCACTGCTAATCAGTGTAGGCCAGAGTTTTCCAAACTGTGTGTTGTGACATGTTAGTGCAGAGGTCCTCAACCTTTCTGAGTCCACAGCTCCTTTGACCAACTGCATTCTTTCTGCAGCACCCCTGTGGGGCTCCCTTGCCTGCAGAGCTGGCAGCCCCTCACCCCTTTTCAAACACCCTCCCTTGTGGAGTGTTCCCTAATCTTCCTCTCCTCTCCTTGGGAGTCATCTGGGCAGCTGCAGCTGCTGCCCCTGATCTCTGAGCTGCCTCCCTTGCCCCAAAGAGAAGTGCCTCCCCACTGCCCCAGGGGGACCTGGGATTCACCATTTGCCTGGGGAGCTTGTAGCCAGGGCTGCTGCAACAAACAGCTGTGCAAGCCTTTGGGAGACAGAGATGCAATAGGGCATCACAGGAGGGAGGGAAGGAAAGAGGGACAGAGGCCAGTGTTGCCCATGGCACCCTTGACCATCATTCAAGGTACCCCAGGGTGCCACAGCATACTGGTTGAAAACCACTGTGTTAGTGTGTCAGCTGCAGCATGTAGGTGTGTCTCACGCACACTCCCCACAATCCTCCCGGAGCTGGAGAGGGGTTAGTTTAGCCTCCAGTTTGCTAGTAAAACTGAATTACTGCGTCGTGAAAAGATGCATGTATAAAAAGTGTGTCACCAACTTGAAAAGTTTGGAAAGCGCTGGTGTAGGCAGTACTGAGCTGGAAGGACCACTGGTCTAACATAGAACAAGACAACTTTTTAAGTTCCTGACAGATGATTGTGCCATAGCTCCCTAGTCAAGCATTTACTTTGCATGTAGAAGGTCTCAGGCTCAATACCCAGTGGCATCTCCAGGTAGGCCTGGAATACCACTTACCTTAAGCAGAGGATGGCTTTGCAGGATAGGGCCTGCCCACCACCATAGCAGCCGCAGAAACGGGAGATTTCCTGTTGGATGGAGATGTTCCTGGCCTTACTCTGATGGCCTTACTCTGAGCATGGGGAGCTACTGTCAGCCAGTGTATAGAATACTGAGCTAGATGGACTAGTGCTCTGACTTGGAAGCTAAGGCAGCTTCCAACTTTCCTTTTTATTTTTTGGGGGGAAAGGGAAATACAGATTTAGATAGACATTGGGGAAGAGAACACACATTTTAATAGGTATTGTAGATGTGGGATGTCAGCCTGCATGATGTCCTGAGTCACTTCCAATTACTGGGGTCATGTATCCCGTGGGGTTTAGAATTTAAAAGAGGGGGGTTGCTGGACTACTCAGTTTTCTTTGTACAGTGGTACCTCGGGTTAAGAACTTACCGTATTTTTCGCTCTATAACATGCACCCAACCATAACATGCACATAGTTTTTAGAGGAGGAAAACAAGGAAAAAAAATATTCTAAACAAAACAATGGATGTATGATTTTTGTGGTTCATGCTGTGGCCACAGACATGTGATCTGACGGTGAGTTTGGGGTAGCCCAATGCAAAAATCCTGAGGATCCATGTGGATCCATGCTTTGTAAGCATGTTTTTGCACCTCTGCAGGGGCTCTTCTCCCGCTTTGCTGTTTCAAAGCGAGCCACAGAGGAGGGAAGGAAGGGGAACCATGGATCCTCTGCTCACGACTGCAGCAGATACCCCGCCATCCGTAGGCATTCACTCCATAACACGCACAGACATTTCCCCTTACTTCTAGGAGGAAAAAAGTGAGTGTTGTGGTGCAAAAAATATGGTAATTCGTTCCGGAGGTCCATTCTTAACCTGAAACTGTTCTTAACCTGAGGTGCCACTTTAGCTAATGGGGCCTCCTGCTGCGCCACCACCATGCGATTTCTGTTCTCATCCTGAAGCAAAGTTGTTAACCCAAGGTACTATTTCTGGGTTAGCGGAGTCTGTAACCTGAAGCGTCTGTAACCCGAGGTACCACTGTAAGGCAGTGGCCTTTGCAGGCCACTTAAGGGTCCTCATCAGCATCTCAAAATGATGGGCTAGGTTACAAGAGCTACAACTGGATGATGGTGCCCTCCAGGCTAACAGGTGGACCTTTCCTCCACCCCACCCACCTAGCTGCTAGGTAGGAGAGCAATAGCCAAAGTAGTGCGAGTGAGCTCAGCTGATAGCAGGCTGGAAACACAGGGACCTGCTTGCTCTGTGCTGGACCCAAAGCTTTAACTAACAGAGAAGCAGGATCTGTTAGGGTGTTAATTCTGTGAGCCCCTCCATTCTGTGCTCAGGTTGTATATAGGTGTAAAAAACAACAACCCCATATATCCTAAAGACAACACAGTCTCTGCTGACCTTCATTGCAAGGAAACAGAATCTGGGTAAGTGTCTGGAACCCCTAAGTGTAGTGTTTAACAGTATTTTGAGGGTTTTTTTGTTTTGTTTTTTGTTTTAAAGATTAATAGAGAAATGGAACGGAATTGTGGGTAAAAAAAAATAAAGGCAGGGGGAAGCCTGGGAAATAAGTTCATTAAAGCTTGTTTAACACAAGGGTCCCTAGTGTCTTGTTGAGCCCATCAGGAAATTAAATGTCACTTGATTCTTCAGCAGTTCCTCAGATTCCTTGCCAATGTGTGTAATGATGATAGCAGCTAATGCAGTGCATTCATTGCCCACAGGCTATTGCAGAATTGACAGTGCAATTTATATGCCACTCATCATCCGTTTAAGCAGCTGGGTTCTTGTTTAGTGATGGACAATAGTTCACTTCAAAATGAGCAGAAAAGTGGCAAAGATTTTGGGATTCAGCACACATTCCGGATGAAGGAATGCACACCAAATGTACTAAACAGATCCTTTTGAAGCACAATTCACAAAATGAAAAGTGTGCATCAATTCCTTTGTACCTAGGGAAAGCCACAATGAGCATATCAAGGCAAATCCAGCAAAATGCAGCTGTGTCCACTCAAAGCACACACTAAATTCTTGTTGTGAGTCCAGTCTAAAAGGGGTGGTGTATGCTAAAAATAAAACAGAACTCTGAATCCAGGCACTCTTGAGTTGTCAGCCAAGAAAAATTAAATTCTGCCACCTCAATAAATGTGTGCCATGGCAACTCTGAAGAGCTCATGTCATTCACCTTTCCCCATAACTCTGTATGTTCTGAATATCCCAGATGGTTCTGTTAGGTGAGTTATACCCACCTGCTTTGTAAATTCATAACGTATATTCATTCTTTTGTGTGTACACACAGAATGTGCTGTTTATGCCCAGTTTACTTCTTCCTCAGTAATACAGTGGTACCTCAGGTTACAGACACTTCAGGTTACAGACGCTTCAGGTTACAGACTCCGCCAACCCAGAAATAGTACCTCGGGTTAAGAACTTTACCTCAGGATGAGAACAGAAATCGCACGGCCGCGGCGCAGCAGCAGCGGGAGGCCCCATTAGCTAAAGTGGTACCTCAGGTTAAGAACGGACTTCCGGAACGAATTAAGTTCTTAACTAGAGGTACCACTGTATAAGTATTTCTTCTGTGGCGACGCAGAAACAGGCCTAGGAGGTAAGCAGAAGTGGATTCCTGCATACAAAGCGTTCAGGAAACTTTGTAGCAGCTTTTTTGGAACATCATCCAGGCATCTCCCCCCCCCCAAAGAAAAACACCACACACACCCTCATAGTGTTTGTGGCTAAATAAATGTTGTCACAGAGAGTGGAATGCTGATGCTAGTGCTTTTGGGAGTATGGTTTTTATTTGCTATTATGCTATATACTTTTTTGTTTTTATATTATAAACCACCCTGTAATCTTTGGATAAAGGGTGGTGTAGAAATTTAATAAATAATATAGATAAAATAAAAAGAATCCCTCTTTGTTTATATATTTTGTTCTGCAAATTTTACTGTGGGTTGTTGCTGCTTTATCATTGGAGAGGGGCAAGTTGCTATTTAGGGCCCCCAAGAGTGAAAACTTTATTCAGTCATGGAATCATAGAATTTGGTGTAAGGCAACTTCCTGGGCTTCTCTGTTCTTGTCCCTTCTTTGCCTTGCCTTGGCTTTCTTTCTTTCTGTTCTCCGCAATACCAGTTTCAGAATGTCACCTCCTCTGGGAGAGACCCTGGTGGTGTTTTTTTTCATTTTGTTTATGAAAACTTTGTGAAGTGTAATGTCCATTGACACAAAAATTCTTACAAGAAAACTGAATCGGTCTCTGTAATCTCTTCTACCCTTTATCCAAGGCGAAGCCCTGCTGATTCCCTTCCAAGATGCCGTTGGTGAAGAGAAACATAGAACCGCGTCACCTCTGCCGCGGAGCCCTTCCAGATGGGGTTACCAGTGAGCTGGAATGTGTGACCAACAGCACTTTAGCCGCCATCATTAAGCAGCTGGGGAGCCTCAGTAAGTTTCTGATGAGTTTTGCATCTTAGAGAAGTTTGAGTGCTGTTCAGCTGGCAGAAAAGGGCTTGCATGGGGTTTAAACAGAGTAAGGGAACTCTAGATTCCTAGACTATCCCTGTATCTTTAACCTCTATGCTGGCTTCTCTCTATCCTTTGAGGTTTAGACTGATATGGCTTAGGTTGCATTCTGTTTACAACTTCCTCCTCCTCAGCACACTTACTCTGGATCTCGAGGCACGAGGTCATCTTGAATCTACCTCCTGAGAACTAAGGGGCAAGCATGACTTCTTTGTTTCTCCAACTAGTCAGTTAGGTCTACATAACTCTTTCCTATAAAAATTGTGCTTCCTTTAATAAGCATAAGCTTCCTTATCTTATACAAAGTGTCATTCTGAATACCTTTTAACTAATGGTGTGCTCCAAGCAGGCATTATTTTAACTAAAAACATGTGTGTCCTGTACCAGGCCTGAGGCTGCATCCAGATATGAGTGTTTCAAAGTTCTGAAAGCAATAAGAGGGAGCAATTATTGCCTGCACTGTAGGGATTGGCAAATGATAGATCGGGATATGCTGGGAGATTCTCTGGATGATTTGCAGTAGATTGTCAAGGATTTCTGACTCTCAGTTGTTTAATAACAAAATGACTCCCTTCCTCCCCTAAATTAAATTGCTGAAATAAAAGAAGATTAAGGTATCATGAGTGGTGTTTTACATGGAAGGACTGAGTCTCATTTTGTTCTGATACTCATTACAAATGCTGGTGTGAGAATCCTTTAATTTTGAGTCTTTTGCACCACTCTGGTTAGTGGATCTTGGAGTTCTGCAAAAACCCCAAGTGGGACAGAACAGTGGGACAGAACTAAAACATGCATATTTCTTTAACTTGGGAATGAGAAAATTGCAGCCCTCTAGATGTTGTTGGACTCCAGTCCCATCAGCCCCAGCCAGCATTTCCACTGATCAGGGATCATGGGAGTTTTTCCATTTTAAAAATCTGATGATGTGTCCGCATGACAAACTTATATTGGGTTTATGCCAGCTGAACAGTCATCACCCTGGAGAGATGCTGCCAGTCAGTGTCAACAATACCAAGCTAGGTTCAGTGGTGCTGAATAGAACCATCTCTGTGGCAGCATCCTGTTTCTGGAATGATAGTATAGTAGGGGTGGATAATCTTGTTTGGCCCTCCAGACGTATCTTACTGGCCCCTGGGACTCTACCCAGGCCATGTATATTTATGAGGCTGCACCTCTCACCAGTTCTGTTTTTTTGTGTCTTCTTGAACTGTGATAATGCTTCTTGCTTGTCTGGATGGAGGGTGTGTGTGTGTGTGTGTGTGTGTGTGTGTGCGTGCATGCATAGAAGTATCTGACAATGTAGCCTCTCACCTGTTTCTCTGCCCACTTTTGCCTCTGTGGCCCTCAGAAGCTTGCCTATAGGGGAATGTGGTCAATGGAATGAAAAGAATTTATTCGTTTTATTGCCTGCTTAAGCCTGACGGAATAGAAGAGCTTTCAGCAGGCATTTAAAGGTTGGCACAGGAGGCGCCTGCTGAATCTCCAGTACTGAGTATTCGACAGGACTGGGCCAATGACACTCAAGGCTCAGTTTCTTGCTGTTGTCAGAAGAGACTCACCAACCTGGGGAATGACCAAGGACACTCCTGAAGATGATCTCAGTGACAGAGCTGGGGCAAAAAGGGTTCAGGCGCTCCCTGAGGTACCCAGGAGTCAGGACCCAAGTTGTTCTGGGCTTTGTCAGTTAATGCAAGGACCATGAACTTGGCTCAGTAGTAGATGGGCAGCCAGTGTAGATGTTTTAACAATGGAATCACATGTTCTCACCCCTGCCTGATAGGCGCCAGCACTGTTATAATTTCAGTGCCAAATAATCTACCTGCCAAATGATCAGTGCCAAATGATCTATCTGACCCCTCTCCTCTGTTTTTAGCTTTCTCTGTTTTTAGCTGCCTCTGCTGGTAGGTAGGTGGTGGTGGTGTTATTCTTTTACACATCTTTTTAAAATTGTTCTTATCCGTAAAAATATAAGAACATAACTAAAAACATAAAACTGGGAACTTAATCTAAAACAAAAATAAAAAGAGGCACAGGGAAAACCACACATGAATTATTTGGTGTCCACTTGGATGTCACACAGTGGATGGGGTGCGAAGCACAATGTAGGGCAGTCAGTCTGGCTATGGGCAAGTGCTGAGGGCAAGTGAAGTTAGCTGAGATTGATAGCAAGGAAGGGCAATGCACATCAATAAGTAAACATGGACTTTTAAAAGGGGGCTAGACACATTCATGGAAGATTAGCCTGCCAATGGCTGCTAGGCACAAAGACTCCGTAGAAACTTCAGCCTCAAAGGCAGTATATGCCTCTAAATTATTTTATACATCATTAAATTTCTATCCCACCTTTCCTCCAATGGGTTCAAGACGATGTATATGGTCCCCTCTCCCCATTTTATCCTCACAACACCCCTGTGAGGTAGGTTAGTCTGAAAGGCAACTAGTGGGCCACAGTCACCAGTGATCTGGGGATTTGAACTCTGGTCTCCCAGACCCTTGTCTGACACTCTAACCACTAGGACACACTAGCTTAATTACCATTTATGAGAAATAACAGTGAGAGAGGCAGGGCTGGTGTCAAAGTTCCACATGATCAAGGCAATTTCTTGAGGGTTCACACCATAAAAAGAGGACCACTGGTAGGAGCACCTAAAGCTGCTCCTTCTATTCACTATGGCAACTTGCTAGCTTGTTTTCCTACTTCTTGCTGTGGCCCAGACAGTGGTGGTGAGAATGAAGAGCTGTAGATGGCTTGATTTGATTGCTTACCTGCTTTCTGCCTGGCAAGCAAGCAGCTGGTAACAGTGAGAAGGAAGAGGAACAGCATCACCCCCAAAACACATACCTGTTTACCAGAATTGATAAACTCCCCAACATCCAGACCTGGGAACCACTCACCCACAGTCTCCATCTTATCAGGATCCAGTCTGTTGGCGCTCAGGCACTGGTTCAAAACAGTCACAGTGTCTCTTGATTCAGATGTCACAGTGAAATAGAACTCAGTTTCGCAGTACTGTATACCGATGGCACCATGACCACATTCACACCATACATTTAAAACACCATGTTACCACTTTAAACAGTCATGGCTTTTCCTCAAATAATCTTAGAGGTTGTAGGTGCTGAGAGTTGTTAGGAGACTCTATATTCGCCTCCCAGAGCTACAAGTGCCAGAGTGGTTTTACAATCAGGCTGTGGGGGGGAATATTGGGGGCAGCAATACCGAGAATTATTGGGGAGAAACCATAGTGCTTCAAATATATAGTGTGAATGTAGCCCATGTCCCAAATCTTCCAGTGATAGTTCTTAGTGGCTTTATATAGATATTAAACAGCACCGGGTTGGGTGTGCAGTGTGGGAATGGGACAAAATAGCCATTTGCAGCATCCCACAGCAACACTTCCAGGGAGTAGACACACAATTCTCCAAGACAATTCTCTGAACTCAATCCCATAAGTAGCAGGGGGTAAAGGTAAAAGGTAAAGGACCCCTGGAAGGTTAAGTCCAGTCAAAGGCGACTATGGGGTCGCGGCGCTCATCTTGCTTTCAGGCCAAGGAAGCCGACATTTGTCCACAGACAGCTTTCTGGGTCATGTGGCCAGAATGACTAAACTGCTTCCGGCACATCGGAACACTGTGACAGAAACCAGAGCGCACAGAAACACCATTTACCTTACTGCTGCAGCGGTAACTATTTATCTACCCGCTCTGGTGTGCTTTCGAACTGCTAGGTCGGAAGAAGCTGGGACAAAGCAACGGGAGCTCACCCTGTTGCATGGATTCAGAGCCCAAGAGTCTCAGTGATTTGGACACACAATTCCCCAACACAATTCTCTGAGCTCAATCCCATAAGTAGCAGTGGAACCACTGCAAGACTGTGCCACCAACTCCCAACTCATGGTGTGGTCCAGGAGGATACCATGGCAAAGGGATCTAAAGTTGCTAAGACCAAGAGCAACAGGCTTTCTTACACTCCCCATTCCTCTCCCAGCAAAAGCCATCCACCACCACCCTCTCATGCATCTTTCTCATGCATCTTTCCTCCAAGGCAGTAGTTGTCAAATACCTCACAATCTAGAAAGGGCTTTTTTTAGGAGCTGCCACACTGCCTCTTTCTTCAGGACATTGGGTACTATCTCCTTTTGCAAAGATGCGTTAACCAAGCTGGACTAACGCGCGCGCACACACACACACACACACATATACACACACACACACACATACACACATAGCAAGCATGAGTAAGCCAAGATGAGCATGTTGTGAGCCAAACTGCGACAAGCATCGTGTCCATGTCCTCAGGTGAGGAGGTCAACTTGTGGGCCACCCAAAAGACATATCTTTGGCCACTGTGGAAGAGACAGTGCTAGAGTAAGGCCACATGCACACCATACATTTAAAACACTTTCATACCACTTTAAAAAGTCGTGGCTTCTCCAAAAGAATTCTGAGAGCTGTAAAGGGTGCTGAGGGTTGCTAGGAGATCCTTATTCCCTCAGAACTATAATTTGCAGAGTGGTTTAACAATCCATCTTGGGAACTCTGTGAATTGTAGATCACTGATGGGAATAGGGGCCTCCTAACGATTCTCAGCATCCTCAACAAACTACAGCTCCCAGGATTCTTTGAAGGAAGCCATTAATGTAAAGTGGTATCATAGTTCTTTAATGTATGGTGTGAATGTGGCCTAGACAGGCCTTTGGACTGATTTAGCAGCCAGCTCTTCTTCTGTTCCTAACCTTTTCACAAGGTGTACTGGAAAATTCTTTTTGATAAAGTAAGGGAGATTTTATGGCACTGCTGAAAATGTTTGCGCAAAACTGTTAGTTGTTTTGACCTAGTGCAAGTCTGAATAAAAAAGCATGGCTACTCCACAAGGCTTGTAAACTACAAGAAAGACCATTTTCTTATGCTTTGATTGAGTGAGCATCCAATAACAGGCCTGCATAATGCCTGCCCAAACTGCTAGCCGGGCTAGATCCACAAAGGGTGACAATTACCTCCTGTTTTGCAGCTTCTTTTATTCTTTTTTCAATACTGTGTGTTATTTGGAGTCGCTTCCTCAGGCGAGCACATGTGACTGACAAAGCATGCCCCTGTGTTGCTGTCTTGTGGAACAAGACTAGCATTGTAATTTTCCGGAGAGACATCTCTCTCTGAAAAACCCTCTGTTTGGCCCATCAAAGGGATCTGAAGCAAAACTAAATCAAAGTGAGACTGCATGTGGCAGTTTGTGCTGGTGGAGTTGGCTCAGAGGGTGTTTACACTGGATTTGTCATCTTTTCCAGTCATATTTTTGGCTTATAAATTTTGTTTCTCAGTATGTTGTATGGTGATTCACATGGTTCTCTAAAGGCTTGAGTAAATGTTAGTAGGCAAAAAAGGACTTGCAAAAGCAAGTGTCACCAATGTGGCAGTCATGGGCACAATTACTTTTATATTGTAATGGCACCCTTGAGGTCTTCCCCTGGTGCCCTCAAAGCCTCTGGGCTTCTCCACTTGCAGCCATGGTGCTGAGGGTGGTTACCTCTGCTCCTTTGGAAAAGTGGGGTAAGCAGTCTCATATAACCAGCATCCTTAAGTGTAATTAATGCATGAAGGGGTTCAGACCATAGAGTAAATTCTCCTGCCAGGCCTAGGCCAGGTGGGTCCACAGAGCTGAAGGAAGTTGGAAGAGTGAATCTATTTCCAATTTCCTTTTATAGCTCTATATGCCATCGTTCTTTCTTTCTTTCTTTTTCTTTTTAAATTATAAATTGTTTACTAAGGAATTAATAAAAAGACAAGACTTCTACCTATTAACATGAAAGTAAAATAAAAATAAATAAAATAATGGAAACTGCCGTATTTTTCGCTCCATAAGAAGAACCTGACCATAAGACGCACCTAGTTTTTAGAGGAGGAAAACAAGAAGAAAAATATTCTGAATGAAACAGTGGATGTATGATTTTTGTAGTTAATGCTGTGGCCACAGACATGTGATTTGACGATAAGTTTGGGTTAGCCCAATGCAAAAATCCTGAGGATCCATGTGGATCCGTGCTTTGTAACCAGGTTTTTGCGCCATTGCGGCCCCACACAATAGTGGGTGTGTGGTTTTTTGGGTGCAGGCTGTAGCCCTAGACATGCAATGTGATCTGATGGTGAATTTGGGGTGACCCAATGCAAAAATCCTGAGGATTCATGTGAATCCGTGCTTTGTAACCACGTTTTTGCGCCATTACGGCCCCTCCCAACATTGGATGCAAGGTTTTTTTGGTGCTGGCTGTAGCCCTAGACAGGCTATGTAATCTGATGGTGAATTTGAGGTGACCCAATGCAAAAATGCCGAGGATCCATGTGGATCCGTGCTTTGTAAACACGATTTTGCCCCATTTCAGCCTCACACAACATTGGGTGCGTGGTTTCTTTGGTGCAGGCTGTACCCGTGAACATGCTATGTAATCTGATGGTGAATTTGAGGTGACCCAATGCAAAAATGCTGGGAATCCATGTGGATCCGTGCTTTGTAACCACGATTTTGCGCCATTGCGGCCCCACACAACAGTGGGTGGGTGGTTTTTTTGATGCAGGCTGTAGCCTTAGACATGCTATGTGATCTGATGATGTATTTGAGGTGACCCAATGCAAAAATCCTAAGTATCCATGTGGATCCGTGCTTTGTAACCACGTTTTTGCGCCATGGCAGCCCCACACAACAGTGGGTGCGTTGTTTTTTTGGTGCAGGTTATACCCATGAACATGCTATGAGATCTGATGGTGAATTTGGGGTGACCCAGTGCAGAAATCCTGAGGATCCATGTGGATCCGTGCTTTGTAACCACGATTCTGCACCATTGCGGCCCCACACAACAATAGGTGCGTGGTTTTTTGGTGCAGATTGTACCCATGAACATGCTATGTGATCTGTTGGTGAATTTTGGATAACCCAATGCAAAACTCCTTAGGATCCATGTGGATCTGTGCTTTGTAACCACGTTTTTCCGCCATGGTGGCCGCAAACAACAGTGGGTGCGTGGTTTTTTTGGTGCAGGCTGTACCCATGAACATGCTATGTGATCTGATGGTGAATTTGGGGTGACCCAATGCAGACATCCCAAGGATCCATGTGGATCCGTGCTTTGTAACCACGTTTTTGCGCCATTGCAGTCCCACACAACAGTGGGTGCATGCTTTTTTTGGTGCAGACTGAAGGCCTAAACATGCAATGTGATCTGATGGTGAATTTGGGGTGACCAATGCAAAAATCCCAAGGATCCATGTGGATCCCTGCTTTGTAACCACGTTTTTGCGCCATTGCGGCCCCACACCACAGTGGGTGCGTGGTTTTTTTGGTGCAGGCTGTACCCATCAACATGCTATGTGATCTGATGGTGAATTTGGGGTGACCCAATGCAAACATCCGGAGGATCCATGTGGATCCGTGCTTTGTAACCATGTTTTTGCGCCATTGCGGCCCCACACAACAGTGGGTGCGTGGTTTTTTTGGTGAAGGCTGTAGCCCTAGACATGCTATGTAATCTGATGGTGAATTTGGGCTGACCCAATGCAAAAATCCCGAGGATCAATGTGGATCTGTGCTTTGTAACCACGTTTTTTCCGCCATTGCGGCCCCACACAACAGTGGGTGCGTGGGTTTTTTGGTGCAGGCTGTACCCATGAACATGCAATGTAATCTGATGGTGAATTTGGGGTGACCCAATGCAAACATCCCGAGGATCCATGTGGATCTGTGGTTTGTAACCACGTTTTTGCGCCATTGTGGCCACACAACAGTGGGTATGTGGTTTTTTGTGTGCAGGCTGTAGCCCGAGACATGCAATGTGATCTGATGGTGAATTTGCGGTGACCCAATGCAAAAATCCCGAGGATCCATGTGGATCCGTGCTTTGTAACCACGTTTTTTGCGCCATTGCGGCCCCACACAACAGTGGGTGCGTGGTTTTTTTGGTGCAGCTTGTACCCATGAACATGCTATGTGATCTGATGGTGAATTTGGGGTGACCCATTGCAAAAATCCCGAGGATCCATGTGAATCTGTGCTTTGTAACCACGTTTTTCCGCCATGGCGGCCCCACACAACAGTGGGTGCGTGGTTTTTTGGGTGCAAGCTGTAGCCCTAGACATGCAATGTGATCTGATGGTGAATTTGGGGTGACCCAATGCAAAAATCCCAAGGATCCATGTGGATCCATGCTTTGTAACCACGTTTTTTCCGCAATTGCGGCCCCACACAACAGTGGATGCGTGGTTTTTTTGGTGCAGGCTGTAGCCCTAGACATGCTATGTAATCTGATGGTGAATTTGGGCTGACCCAATGCAAAAATCCCGAGGATCCATGTGGATCTGTGCTTTGTAACCACGTTTTTTCCGCCATGGCGGCCCCAAACAACAGTGGGTGCATGGTTTTTTTGGTGCAGGCTGTAGCCCTGGACATGCAATGTGATCTGATGGTGAATTTGGGCTGCCCCAATGCAAAAATCCTGAGGATCAATGTGGATCTGTGCTTTGTAACCACGTTTTTTCCGTCATTGCGGCCCCACACAACAGTGGGTGCGTGGGTTTTTTGGTGCAGGCTGTAGCCCTGGACATGCAATGTGATCTGATGGTGAATTTGGGCTGCCCCAATGCAAAAATCCTGAGGATCAATGTGGATCTGTGCTTTGTAACCACGTTTTTTCCGCCATTGTGGCCCCACACAACAGTGGGTGCGTGGTTTTTTTGGTGCAGCTTGTACCCATGAACATGCTATGTGATCTGATGGTGAATTTGGGGTGACCCAATGCAAAAATCCCGAGGATCCATGTGAATCTGTGCTTTGTAACCACGTTTTTCCGCCATGGCGGCCCCACACAACAGTGGGTGCGTGGTTTTTTGGGTGCAGGCTGCAGCCCTGGACATGCAATGTGATCTGATGGTGAATTTGGGGTGACCCAATGCAAAATGCTGGGGATCCATGTGGATCCGTGGTTTGTAACCACGTTTTTGCGCCATTGTGGCCTCACACAACAGTGGGTACGTGGTTTTTTGTGTGCAGGCTGTAGCCCTAGACATGCTATGTAATCTGATGGTGAATTTGGGGTGACCCAATGCAAAAATCCCGAGGATCCATGTGGATCCGTGCTTTGTAACCACATTTTTCCGCCACGGCGGCCCCACACCACAATGGGTGCGTGGTTTTTTTGGTGCAGGCTGTACCAATGAACATGCAATGTAATCTGATGGTGAATTTGAGGTGACCCAATGCAAACATCCCGAGGATCCATGTGGATCCGTGCTTTGTGACCACGTTTTTGCGCCACTGAGGCCACACACAACAGTGGGTGCGTAGTTTTTTTCGTGCAGGCTGTAACCATCAACATGCTATGTGATCTGATGGTGAATTAGGGGTGACCTAATGCAAAACTCCTTAGGATCGATGTGGATCCGTGCTTTGTAACCACGTTTTTGCACCATTGCGGCTCCACACAACAGTGGGTGCGTGGTTTCTTTGGTGCAGGCTGTACCCATGAACATGCTATGTAATCTGATGGTGTACTGTATTTGAGGTCACCCAATGCAAAAATCCTAAGGATCCATGTGGATCCATGCATTGTAACCACGTTTTTGCGCCATTGCGGCCCCACACAACAGTGGGTGCGTGGGTTTTTTGGTGCAGGCTGTAGCCATGGACATGCTATGAGATTTGATGATGAATTTGGGGTGACCCAATGCAAAAATGCTGGGGATCCCTGTGGATCCGTGCTTTGTAACCATGTTTTTGCGCCATGGCGGCCCCACACCACAGTGGGTGGGTGGTTTCTTTGGTGCAGGCTGTACCTGTGAACATGCTATGTAATCTGATGGTGAATTTGGGGTGACCCAATGCAAAAATCCCGAGGATCCATGTGGATCCGTGCTTTGTAACCACGTTTTTACGCCATTGCGGCCCCACACAACAGTGGGTGCGTGGGTTTTTTGGTGCAGGCTGTAGCCATGGACATGCTATGTGATCTGATGGTGCATTTTGGATGACCTAATGCAAAACTCCTTAGGATCGATGTGGATCCGTGCTTTGTAACCACGTTTTTGCACCATTGCGGCCCCACACAACAGTGGATGCGTGGTTTCTTTGGTGCAGGCTGTACCCGTGAACATGCTATGTAATCTGATGGTGAATTTGAGGTGACCCAATGCAAAAATGCTGGGCATCCATGCGCATCCGTGCTTTATAACTACGTTTTTGCGCCATTGCGGCCCCACACAACAGTGGGTACGAGGTTTTTTTTGTGCAGGCTGTATCCCTAGACATGCTATGTAATCTGATGGTGAATTTGTGGTGACCCAATGCAAAAATCCCGAGGATCCATGTGGATCCGTGCTTTGTAACCACGTTTTTGCACCATTGCGGCCCCACACAACAGTGGATGCGTGGTTTCTTTGGTGCAGGCTGTACCCGTGAACATGCTATGTAATCTGATGGTGAATTTGAGGTGACCCAATGCAAAAATGCTGGGCATCCATGCGCATCCGTGCTTTATAACTACGTTTTTGCGCCATTGCGGCCCCACACAACAGTGGGTACGAGGTTTTTTTTGTGCAGGCTGTATCCCTAGACATGCTATGTAATCTGATGGTGAATTTGCGGTGACCCAATGCAAAAATCCCGAGGATCCATGTGGATCCGTGCTTTCTAACCACGTTTTTGCGCCATTGCGGCCCCACACAACAGTGGGTGCGTAGTTTTTTTGGTGCAGGTTGTACCCATGAACATGCTATGTGATCTGATGGTGAATTTTGGCTGACCCAATGCAAAACTCCTTAGGATCCATGTGGATCTGTGCTTTCTAACAACGTTTTTCCGCTATGGCGGCCCCAAACAATAGTGGGTGCATCTTTTTTTGATGCAGGCTGTAGCGCTAGACATGCTATGTGATCTGATGGTGAATATTGGGTGACCCAATGCAAACATCTCGACGATCCATGTGGATCCGTGCTTTGTAACCACGTTTTTGCACCATTGCGGCCCCACACAACAGTGGGTGCGTAGTTTTTTTAATGCAGGCTGTAGCCCTAGGCATGCAATGTGATCTGATGGTGAATTTGGGGTGACCCAATGCAAAAATCCCGAGGATCCATGTGGATCCGTGCTTTGTAACCACGTTTTTGCGCCATGGCGGCCCCACACAACAGTGGGTGCGTAGTTTTTTTCATGCAGGCTGTAGCCCTAGACATGCAATGTGATCTGATGGTGAATTTGGGGTGACCCAATGCAAAGATCCCGAGGATCCATGTGGATCCGTGCTTTGTAAACACGTTTTTGCGCCATTGAGGCTACACACAACAGTGGGTGCGTGGTTTTTTTGGTGCAGGTTGTACCCATGAACATGCTATGTGATCTGATGGTGAATTTGGGGTGACCCAATGCAAAAATCTTGAGAATTCATGTGGATCAGTGCTTTGTAACCACGCTTTTATGCCATTGCGGCCCCACACAACTGTCAGTGTGTGGTTTTTTTGGTGCAGGCTGTAGCCATGGACATGCTATGTGATCTGATGGTGAATTTGGGGTGACCCAATGCAAAAATCCTGAGGATCCTTTGGCTATAATGTCCCCCCTCTCAGGCAGTCTCCTTTCTCGCATCCCTTATCTCTCTCCTGATCCCCCCCATCAGCTTCTTCCTTTCAACACTCCTTTTCCTTTTGTTTACCTTAGTGTCTTTTCCTTAGCTGGAGCAGTTTTTTGCTCCTCTTTTTCTTCTATTTTCTCTCTTCATTGATTTAGTCTTCCTGTCTCCTTTCCTTGCAAGTTTGCCATCTTTACCTCCCCCCTCCCAGGCAGCTTCCTTTATCGCTAGAGTCCCTTATCTTCCTCCCCTATTGCTTGCCGATCAGCTGCTCAGCAGCTTTGTTTCAACACCCCCTTTCCTCTGCTTTTTGCCGCTGGGCAATTCGGCTACAGGGACCACACATTCACTCCATAAGACGCACAGACATTTCCCCTTACTTTTAAGGAAGAAAAAAGTGCGTCTTGTGGAACGAAAAATTCGGTAATAACATTGAAATAAATAAAAGACAGCATATGGTTGAACATTATCATTAAACTTATTATTCCAAAACATTTTTTTAAACCACCCATTTCCCCAAATAACTTACTGAGCTAATTTACACATAAAGTAGCTGAATTTGATCAAAGTTGCAAGGAATCAGATGTTTCCAATCCATTCAAATTCTGTAGGAATTAGTTACTACTTCTAGATCATTTTCCAGGATAATCTCCAATATAATTTCCAAATAGCCAGGTAAAAATACTTCAGGTTCTAAAGATATATGGCATCCTAATGTATTTGATATTTGGAAATCACATGGATTTATTATTATTATTATTATTATTATTATTATTATTATTATTATAAATGTTGGCCAGGCTTGCACAAGTCACATAACTCTGATGTCGGTAGGCCTTTGTAAACAATAAAATCAACAAAAAGAGTTGCTCTAATTGTTAGGTTCCCGAGACATTTTCAGTAAGGAGGAAAAGGTATAATATTTATCGAGAAAAGAAAATTCCTTGGATGCCAAGATTCAGGTTTGGGGAAGTACTCTTTGGTGAGAGCACCCCAGCAGAGATTTAAAGTCATAAAATATGCAGCAAAGTAATGCCAAATTTTAGCCTGCATACCTTAAAATATACCCTTGTGAGTTCCAAGACTTCCTTCTTCCCCCCCGTATAGGAGAAGACCTAACATTAGGTAAGTTAAAATTTGTACTTACCTTATTTTCCGATGTATAAGACTTTTCCAGATAAAATATAGAGTTTGGGATATACTCTCCATATAAGACTACCCCTCTTCCAACGCACACTAAATAAAAATTAAAAAAAACTTCAGACTTTACTTCAATATGGTAATTTTCATTCAAATGCTTATGACATGCAGGTACTTTGCATGTCACTTATAAACATAAGGCTGTTTGTCATCAAACATGTAAACATAAAACAGTGCAAGTGGATTAAACTTTTCCTAACTCACTCTAAAGCTGAAAGGAAGGATAAACACACTTACTGGGGTGTAAGCTTTATTAAATATTGTGGCACTTATTTCTAAATAAGCATTCATAAGGGCTGGTACTGCAAGGCTACACTCTTATGCAGGGTTACAGGGAGAAAATCCCAGAGTGGTGGGGCTTACTTGTGAGTAAACATGCATAGGAGCAGCTAAAAGGGAGCATTAAGAAGAGACAAATTGAGAAGGCATGAAAGAGTAATTGAAAAAGCCATTAAGAGCAAAAATGGAAGGTAAGTCAGAAAAAGAAAAAGAGTGGTTAAGTGGAAACATGAAGGGGGAGGAATGAAGGGTAGTGTGTGAGAGGAATAAGGCAGTCAAAAAATGCTAAATGCAAGGAAGGATTGGGAACATGGAAAAGGTGAGTGGACAAAAGGAGTAATAATGGGCAGTTAACAGAAGCCTAAAGAGGCAATGGGGTGAAAGGCATAACCTAAGGAAGGGGATGATGCTGATGATTAGAAAAGCACAATACTCAAGATATGATGCAGATTGCTTACTTATCACTCAACATGCCTTTTGCAAGCTACTTCACAATTTTAACAGCTATGCATTACAACCGCATGCTGCACACACTCTCTAGAACCTGTAGTCTTCAACATGTTTTAAATCATATACATCACAGAAACACACTGCACAGAGCTTCAAGGATCAGAGCTTCAGCATACATCTTCATGGTTGAAAAACCATGTGTGTCCCCACTTCAAAGATGATGGCATCAGCGGACCAACAGACACAACACAGGTCAGCAGCACATTACCTGTTAAAGTCACATCTGAAGTTGTTCCAAGTTATATACTTTACAGCACAATATGCTTTACAGCACAATATGCTTTACACACATCCCTCCAAGTTTAATGGGGCTTACTTACTCCCCAGATAAGTGGATTTAAGACTGCAGTTCCCACCCTTTTAACACATGCTTATGAGGCAAAGTGAGGAACTCTAATCCATGTAAACACTTGTAAAGACAGAGCAACTGAATAGTAGGAACCTCTGCGGCAGCCACAAACCAGCGCTGATGGCTGCCAGCCCGGCAGCTTCTGCAGCAGCAACATGGGCGCTCCACAAGGTCCGGCACCAGCGGCGGTGAAGCCATCCTGGATTGCAGACACTGGACCCGGCGTGAGGAGGCTGAGAGGGCGGCGGCAGCAGCAACCCCAGCAGGGTTTCAGACAGGCGATCTGAGCAACCTGCCAGGCGGCATCAAAGGGCGGGTGGTTGGGATCAGCTGTCTCAGAGGAGAGGAGAGAGCTATACGCTTAATAAAAATGTGCGCTCTGCTGCATTGAGTGGCTCCATCTAGAGACTTAAAAAATAAAATAAAAAATCCCTGCTTGACGAGATGCTCAGCAGAGAGACATGCAGGGAGAGATAAGCAGCCTCCTCTTCCTGTCTGCTCTCCTGCCACCTCTTCACACACACGCTGTAGCAGCCGAGGGTGAAACAAAGGAGCCAGGGGCTTGCGCCATGAAGGCAGCTAGAAGGAGCAAGGCAAAACGGCAAGGGAAGGCAAGGGAAGAATGCGCTGTGGCCGTTTAAATAGTTGAAGCCACCCGCCGCTTCACTCAGGCGACCCCCCACAACCATACCCAGCATATAAGATGACCCCTGACTTTTGAGAAGATTTTGCTGGGTTAAAAAGTCGTCTTATATGCTGGAACATACGGTGCAAACTTTTCAGAGATCATTTCAGAGGTTCATTTTTCCATGCATCAGTCAGAAAAGTTGCACAGGTGGTAAAACTTGGCTTAGTTGCAAAGTGGTGAATGTTGCTAAATTATTGGTATAGGTGCTCAATAGAGGCTTGTTAGAGTGTAGCTTCTTCACACCTTGTGCTTCTCAGGTAGACTGGAGGGGAACAAAGTCTTGATTATGTAGTTCAGGGAGGTCCAACCTTCATACAAGAGGGCTGCAATAGTACTTTGACAAGGAATCTGCAGACTGCACACTGCCTTGTCAAATGGTGCTTTTCCCAAAGTGGTTGAGCTTTAGGAGGGCACTGGACTTTGGGAAGGAGTTGAGCTGGGAAAGCACTAACTAGGCTTTGGGAAGGAGGAGGGAGGATTCTAGGATAAGGTTACCAGATGTCCCTGTTTCCCAGCTTCTTGCTGCAAAAAAGAAAAGAAAAGAAAAAGAAAACCTGAGCCTGTCAGGACAGCTTTTTCTATGGTCTGAACCCCTTCATGCATTAATTAGACTCAAGAATGTTGGTTATATGAGACTAGTTATCCCACATTTACCAGGGTTTTATACACACACACACACACACACACACACACACACAATTATACACCATTAACAATGCAGCATTATAAAATTACGGGCTCTGAGAAGACACCACCAAGGGGAATAAGAGTGGTTTTGGCACATGTTTGTAAATGCATGCATATGGAAAGACATGCCAGTGTGTTGCTTTCCTTGCCCCCAATTGTGGCACAAAGTTGGTACAGGTGGCGACCATTTTGCATGCGTCCTATTGACGTGCAACTGCCAATACATGTGTGGCTTTCAGTCCCAGAATTGGGGTGGAACAGGCCTACGTGTGACTGTTGGCACATGCAATGACCCGGAACGCAACCCCCGCACAACTGAGCTTCATGTACTGTACTATAATCATTGCTAATTTTCTAGAAAAAGAGGTGCTGGAATTCATTACGAATGCCTCCCTTGTTCTCTTATAATGGCAATGGCGTCCACCCAAGAAGAGCTGGAACTGAGCTCCAGTGAGTTCCGGCTGAAAAAAATCCCCTCGCTATAATAATTGCAGCCTTGAGAAAAGGTGGGGGGACGCACCAAACACAGGAAGCAAACAAAAGGGACAAAATATCCAGGTGCATATTCAGAACCCAAGGCTGAAAAACAGCAAGCGATAACAGCCGGTGGCGATAGGAACAGAAATACACAATCCCAAAACGTCAAGGACAGGCCAAAGCAGGGGAGAAGGAAGCTGGGTACACTTGCTGCAGGCCTTGGAGGGCTAAGTTGGCCAGAAGGCCCTGCCAGGGGCCTGCCAGACTTACACTGTCATCCAAAAATGCCCCCATCCTTCCCAGCCGAACTGGAGCTTAATGGGTGAAACGGCCATGCCTGTCCATATGCACTTCAAGACTTCAATAGTAAAATCTGAACCTGTGTTAATGCAAATTAGTGTGTAGCATCAGATCAGATGAGGCGGTTGCACTGCAGTGGTCCATCTTATGGACAAAACTCCCACCCTGGACCTCAGACAAACTCTGCACTGGCCTGGTCAAAGCACTATAAGTGATCCAAGATGTTATGGTGGAATGAAACTTACCATTGCTGTTTCCCTTTGCAACCCCTTGTTTAAAGTAATGTGTAGTTCCAGTCTAAGAATGCATTTGTTTGCTCATTTCAGATTTCTCTTGCATTAGATTTTGTCAAGCTGTAGAAGGTACAGAAAAGGGGGCTGGAGCATCTTTCTGCAAGTGAAAGTTATAATATATTGGGGGGGTGGTTAGTTTATTTTCAAAATATATGCAAAAGAAGCATAATTGAGGATTATAAAAGTTATGATGGCATATAGCAACTTTTTGGGGCTTGTGGGCACATTTGGAATTCTGGGTGAGTGCCACTGGCCCAATCACAAAATCCATGGAAGAAAGGGCACATGCAGGAGCCACTGCTGCGCTTGCTAACAAGGAGGATGTCTTTTGCACTCTTGTTTGTTCATTAGAGGATGCTGGGATCATGGGTCACCCAGTTAAGCTTGTTGGCGGAAGGTTCAAGGCAGACTGGAAGATGTATTTACAGTGGTGCCTCGCAAGACGAAATTAATTCGTTCCGCAAGTCTCTTCGTCTTGCGAGTTTTTCGTCTTGCGATGCACGGTTTCCCATAGGAATGCATTGAAAATCAATTAATGCGTTCCTAGGGAAACCGCCTTCAGACCAGGTCCGGGGACAGTCTGTCCCCGGACCTCTTCTGAAGGCTGGGGGGGGCAAGGGCTTTTCTTCCCACCCCCAGCATTTTAAAAAAACCCCGGGACAGCGGAGGACTTCTCCGCTGTCCGGGCGATCTTAAAATGCTGGCGGGCGGCATTTTAAAATCACCCCGGGACAGCGGAGGACTTCTCCGCTGTCCGGGGCAATTTAAAGCCCCTGGGAAGGCAGGCAGGGGGACAAAGACTTTGCCCCCGCCAGCCTTCAGAAGAGGTCCTGGACCTCTTCTGAAGGCGGGCGGGGGCGAAAGTCTTTGCTCCCCGCCTTCAAAAGCCCTCCGGGACAGGCAGGCAGGGGGAGCAAAGACTTTCGCCCCCGCCCGCCTTCAGAAGGTCTTCCCTCCCCCCGCCCGGCTCGGAGCACCGTTCCGGGCCGGGCGGCGGCGGAGGTCTTCCTCCCCCCGCCCGGCTCGGAGCACCGTTCCGGCCGGGCGGCGGCGGCAGGTGTTCCCTCCCCCGCCCGGCTCGGAGCACCGTTCCGAGCCGGGCGGCGGCGGGAGGTCTTCCCTCCCCGCCCGGCCTCGGAGCACCGCTCCGAGCCGGGCGGCGGCGGAGGTGTTCCCTCCCCCGCCCGGCCCGGAGCACCGCTCCGAGCCGGGCGGCGGGGAGGTCTTCCTCCCCCCGCCCGGCCGGAGCACCGTTCCGAGCCGGGCGGCGGGGGAGGTCTTCCTCCCCCGCCCGGCTCGGAGCACCGCTCCGGCCGGGCGGCAGGTGTTCCCTCCCCCGCCCGGCCGGAGGAGCCTTCGAGCCCGGCGGCGGCGGAGGAGGTGTCCCCGCCCCGCCGCCAGGCTTCGGAGGAGGTCCGAGGACAGTGGGGAAGACGCGCTGCGCTTCCCCGCTGTCCCTGAGATTTCCTATGGGCTGTCGTCTTGCGAAGCAAGCCCATAGGGAAATTCGTTTATGAGCGCCTCCAAAACGGAAAACCCTTTCGTCTAGCGGGTTTTCCGTCTTGCGAGGCGTTCGTCTTGCGGGGTACCACTGTATTTGCATAGCACATAATTAATATTTTTAGAATTTGTAGTCACAAGATACGATGGTGGTCACCAGCATAGCCGTAGAAAGAGGATTAGTCAAATGTATGTAGGTGAATAAATCTATTAATGGTTATTTGAAATAATTACTATATGTTGCCACACACTTTGCCAACCTGGTGCCCTCCACATGTTTTGGACTACCAGCAGCTGGCTGGGGCTGATGGGAGTTGCAGTCAAACTTTTGGAAGGCACCAGGTTGGAGAAGGCTGTGCTACCATCTCTGAACTATTTGCTGATATACAACGGAAAATGATTTCGTAGAAATACGGTATTCCTTTGTAACATATGTATTAGAGACTGATTCTGACACACAGCCTCTGGCAACACATGTCCAGTTAGGGCAGGCTAACCTTTGTGTTGTGTTTATTGTATGGGGCTTCTTGTGCTGTTAAACTGGAAAATGGAATAAAAGCATTTCCAGGAAATTAAAAGAACGGTATGCTGTGTTGTAGAAAAAACTCCTTCACTTGTTTTGTTGCTATTACTTCTGCCTTCTGGTTCGTAAACAAATTTGCTTTCCTTTGACTACCTGAAAGGGTCCTCAATCTATTTTGCCTGGAACAGGTCACCTCTTTTGTTTCATGGTATTTCAGGCAGACATGCTGAAGACATATTCGGGGAGCTTTTTAATGAAGCCAATAGTTTCTACATGCGGATGAATTCTCTGCAAGAGCGAGTTGATCTTCTGGTGATCAAGGTCACCCAACTGGACTCCACTGTGGAAGAAGGTAAGCAGCATTAGTAGCAACCACTTGGGTCACATTAACCTTTAGTTTTGTTTATCTGGTCAAGGAGAACAGAACTTCATTTAGATGTTTTGCTTCCTTAAGCGCTAATTAAGTATTGCCATTTTCAAGCTTCCCTTTGTGACTCAGTACAACAAAACCCTGCTGTGGAACAGGCAAAACACTCCCGGGAAAAGGAAATTCTAGTAAACAATCTGTTTTCTTAGAATATTAGGGCTTTTTGAACCATACATTACGAAAAGGATGATTTATGGCAGGGTTGGAGAGTCCTTCAGTCATTTGGGAGAGTAATTTGTTAGGGGCTGCATGCCAAGGTGGATAGGGTTAGAGCCAAACGTGGGTGGTGTGTCAAACTCCCTCAGTAAAAATGGGAGCAAGGTAACATGATTGGCTCTGGGTGATTTAAACTTAGAGACTCTGTCAAAAACAACTATTAATTCAGAGATTCTGTGTGCATGGTAGCATTTACTATAATTCAGCAACAAGGACTCATTGTAGGGATCCTGTGCCCCCTTATTTCTTGCACTGGGAATAAATTAAAGATGAGGCACAGTGGAAGCAAAATTGGAATTTTAGTAACAAGCACTCTGTGGGGTAAAGCTTAGTGGTTTCACTAGTAAAGCCACAGTACTTTGTTTCAGTCAAAACTTCTTTTAAAGATGTAATTATAACTTTCTTTTAACTTTCTAACACTGTTTTTAATAAACCTAATTTCTCCTAGAATGGATATCTGTTTTACCCTGCCTGTAGAATGCCTCTAGCCTTTTTCTAGGATCTCTTCATTTCCCTAAGGAAATTAAACTGGTTTGTCCTGCCTAATAAACCCCTAACCCAGAGCTTTCCAAACTTTTCATGTTGGTGGCATACATTTTAGCCATGCACAATTTCATGACACAGTAATTCACCTTTACTAGCAAACCAGAGATTAAACTAACCCCTTTGTCACAGATTTCAATTTAGGCAAAAAGCAACATTTAGGCTTTCAATCTCAGGTTATCCATCCTTGATTTATGGATTCTAGCACTAGAAGGCTGAACGCCAAAGAATTGATGCTTTTGAATTATGGTGCTGGAAGAGACTCTTGAGAGTCCCATGGACTGCAAGAAGATCAAACCTATCCATTCTTAAGGAAATCAGCCCTGAGTGCCCACTGGAAGGACAGATCGTGAAGCTGAGGCTCCAATACTTTGGCCCCCTCATGAGAAGAAAAGACTCCCTAGAAAAGACCCTGATGTTGGGAAAGATTGAGGGCACAAGGAGAATGGGACGACCGAGGACGAGATGGTTGGACAGTGTTTTCGAAGCTACCAACATGAGTAGATAGATAGATAGATAATACTTTATTCGGCTATAAGCCCACAGGGTAAAACAAATCAATAGATAAAAATCAATAGATAAAATCAATAGCATTTTACAATCTAAAATATCAACTAAAATATTTCAACGCATAATCTCTAAATGTACCGTGTTATGGCCTTGAAGATAAAGATGGTGCATAGAGTTTTCTGAATTTTTAATAGTCATGCAGCATTCCCTGAAGTCTTTTATATGACAGAACTGAGATCAGGAATCTAGCAACCTGTAAAGTTCTATAAGAGTCAATGTCCTGGAGTAGATAGGCTAGATGTAATTCAGGTGGTTTAGCAGCAATTTCCAGAATGATTGAACTCAGGATCCTTGATCGGGGAACATTATATAAGGGGCAATTAAACAAGATATGATAAAGGGATTCTATCGATTTGTTGTCACATGCGCACAAAACAGAGATTTTACCGTTAGAAAATCTATTGCTCAGCACATTTGAGGGGAACACATTAAATCTGGCTCTAACAAATGCGAATCTATGCGACGCAGCCGATAAAGTAGACAGATATCGAGGTATCTGGGACATATATGTAATGCCCTGATATATCGGGGAACATGTACCTCCACCTGTGGTAAGATTTTGTTGTAAATCTACCTCCTCCAGTCTTTGTTTGATGACCTTTTAGCTGTAATTAGATCTAAATTAAGTATATCGGAGGGAGAGATTCCATAAGACAACAGTTTGGAATGGATTTTTGTTGCCCATGGGCTGGTGAATTCGTCTCTCCAAAGGCACTGAATAAGATGGTAGTTTGGCAATTTATGCCAAAGGGACAGCCAATAATTAAAGGCATGTCTCCACATCAGAATCTCAAGGGAGGGGGTCTTAAGTTCTAAGCGAATGGCAGAGTTGCTTACACAGGAGGGTAGTTTCAAAAGGCGTCTTAGAAAAGATTTTGCAATGTCACCAGAGGCAAGAGGTTTCCAAAGACGCCCCATAAAGGGACCGCATAGGCCATAGTTGCAACCACTTTTGCACTATAAACTTTTAAGGCAGATGGAACATGCATAGCCCCTCAGTAAAGAAGAAGCGTAGTATAGCGTAGATAAGGGCTTTCACCTTGTTTTGTAGATATGTGATATGCGCTTTCCATCCCATATTATACTGGAAGTAAATTCCTAGATATTGAAATTTGTAAACTTGTTCAATTGGCTTCCCTCAAGTTCCCATCTATACAGTTTACGACTCCTGGAAAAAATTAGGACTTTAGATTTGGAATGGTTAATAGTAAGTAAATTTGTTTGGCAATATGATGCAAAAATCTTAAGGGCCCTCCTCAAACCGATTCGAGAATAAGAGAGGATCACCGCATCGTCAGCGTACAATAATAAGGGGCAGCGATAGTCTGCAAGCCTGGGTGCATGAATGGAGGTTTGGGCCTCAGCTAGAGGCGTCCTCATGTCACTAATATAAAGGTTAAAAGATAGGGGGCAAGGATGCACCCTTGTCGTACCCCTTGTTTATTGGAACTGAGTTTGTGAGATCGCCCTCAGGTGTTAACCTCACCCTAGCAGCCGTCCCTTCATGTCATTTCATCAATAGCCACACCAGCCTTTTTCTATGCCCCACTTTGCCAGTTTTTCCCATAACAGCTCTCTAGAGATACTGTCAAAAGCCGCCTTCAGGTCTATAAAAGCGGCACATAGAAGACCATGAGTAGGGGAAGAATATTTCCGCGCCAAATGATATAGAATTATAGCATGGTCAATAGAAGCGCGATTTGGTCTAAACCCGACCTGTTCATGGCCTATCAGATTGGAATCTTCGGCCCATAGGGTTAGTCTGGTTAGCAAGAAGCGAGTGTAGATTTTTCCGATGATTGATAATAAACTGATATTACGATAGTTTCCTGGGTCCTCTGGTGGGCCTTTTTTATATATAGGAATTATGATGGACTCCTTCCATGATGTAGGTATCTGGCCCGTGGCATTGATTGTATCAAAGATTTTTGCAAGAATTTTAGCCCACCATATTGGATGTTGTTTAATAGCTTCCGCCGGGATCAGATCGGGCCCTGGGGCTTTATCAGTTTTCAGTTTACCCAAATGGCCCCAGCCAATCAGCCAAATGGTAAAATTCCTACCAGGCCCCTGATCCAAAGCAGACGACCCCATTACAGGCATAGCAAGGTCAGCGCAAACAAACCCTAATTAAAGGGAGGATGGTCACATCACCTCCTGGCAAATAGAAGGGGAAGAAATGCAGGCAGTGAGAGATTTTACTTTCTTGGGCTCCATGATCACTGCAGATGGTGACAGCAGTCACAAAATTAAAAGACGCCTGCTTCCTGGGAGAAGAGCGATGACAAACCTAGACAGCATCCTAAAAAGCATAGACATCACCTTGCCAACAAAGGTCCGTATAGTTAAAGCTATGGTTTTCCCAGTAGTGATGTATGGAAGTGAGAGCTGGACTGTAAAGAAGGCTGATTGCCGAAGAATTGATGCTTTTGAATTATGGTGCTGGAGGAGACTCTTGATAGTCCCATGGACTGCAAGAAGATCAAACCTATCCATTCTGAAGGAAATCAGCCCTGAGTGGTCACTAGAAGGCCAGATCGTGAAGCTGAGGCTCCAATACTTTGGTCACCTCATGAGAAGAAAAGACTCCCTGGAAAAGACCCCGATGTTGGGAAAGATGGAGGGCACAAGGAGAAGGGGACGACAGAGGACGAGATGGATGGACAGTGTTCTCGAAGCTACAAAGATGAGTCTGACCAAACTGCGGGAGGCAGTGGAAGACAGAAGTGCCTGGCGTGCTCTGTTCCATGGGGTCACGAAGAGTCGGACACGACTAAACGACTAAACAACAACAAAGCACTCCCCCTTCCCCCCCTCTTATTTTGCAGTGGGGACCTTTTATCTAAAGCACAATGTATGGTCCTGTTGAATGCAGGCAGTTTGGGTTAACAAAGTCACAAACCTGAACCTTGGGAAATGTCAGTCTTTCAGTATCTCATGATGAAAAGAACAAGCCTCTGGTTTCACCACTGAATTTTCAGTCTCTGAAAAGAATTGCATATTTGTTGAGAAGCTATATTCCCAGCTGACCAATCATTTTTCCTCAGAAATGCCTCCCAAGAATTTCAGGGGGACTTATTCCCAAGTAAATGCACAAAGGTGTGCAGCCTGGAAGGATCTCCATTACTTCCTTGCTTGCTTTCTTCTTCCAGTAAGCATTCTGAAAAGGCAATGATAATGAGGTGTTTTTCACATTAGTTACTATCATCATCATCTTCATCATAGGCCAGGTTTCCAAAGCAGCTTAAAGTTATCAATGAGATAGTCCCATGTAGTGATTAGCATGCATTTACCCAGCATCTGTCAATCATCTGTCAATGTTCAGGCACCAGGCAAAATCATTTCTTTTCTGCCAGACCTTTTGGATGCTCATCAAATTTGCAGATAGCACCAAACTGGGAGGGGTAGCTAATGCCACAGAAGAAAGAATCAGGATTCAATGTCATCTTAACAGATTGCAGAACTGGGCCAAAACGTTTAAAAAAGGAATTTCAAGAGGAACAAATGTAAGGTTCTGCACTTAGACAGATAGAAGCAGCTGCACAAATATAATATGGGGGGACACCTGGCTTGCCAGTAGTACATGTGAAAAGGATCTCAGGGTCTTAGTAGGCCACAAGCTTAACATGAGTTAACAGTGTGATGCAGCAGCAAAAAAAGCTAATGGTATTCTAGGCTGCATCAACAGAAGTCTAGTGTCCAGATCAAGGGAAGTAATAGTCCAGCTCTATTCTGCCTTGGTCAGGCCACACCTGGAATACTGTGTACAGCTCTGAGTGCCACACTTTAAAAAGAATACCGTACTGACAAGCTGGAACTGTGCAAAGGAGGGCAACCAAAATGATAATGGGTCTGGAAACCAAGTCTCATGAGGAATGGTTGAGGGTGTTGGGTATGTTTAGCCTGGAAAAGAGGAGATGTGATAGCCATCTTCAAATATCTAAAGGGCTGTCACATGGAAGATGGAGCAAGCTTGTTTTCTCTGCTCTGGAGGCTAGGACCTGAACCTATGGATTCAAGTTACAAGAAATGAGATTCCAACTAAACATCAAGAACTTTCTGATAGTAAGAGTTGCTCGACAGCGGAGCAGACGCCCTTGGGAGGCAGTGGACTTAAAAACCTTGGAGGTTTTTAAGCAGAGGTTGGATGGCCATCTATCATGGATGATTTAGTAGAGATTCCACATTGCAGGGGGTTGGACTAGATGACCCTCAGGGCACCTTCACACTTTACAATTCCATGATTCTATGGGCCTTAGTTATCTGTGTCCTGTGAGTGAGATGTTTTAATTCTGCCTTTTAAAACACAATGGCCTTTTAGATTTTTCTTTGTCTTTCCATTTTATGCTAGCTTTAGTGTATGCACTTGTGGTGTAGTGGTTAAGAGCGGTGGACTTGTAATCTGGTGAACCCGGTTTGATTCCCCGCTCCTCCACATGCAGCTGCTGGGTGACCTTAGGCTAGTCACACTTCTCTGAAGTCTCTTGGCTTCACCTCAGTGTTTGTTGTGGGGGAGGAAGGGAAAGGAGATTGTTAGCCGCTTTGAGACTCCTTAAGTAAAGGTAAAGGGACCCCCGACCATTACGTCCAGTTGTGACCGACTCTGGGGTTGCGGCACTCATCTCGCTTTACTGGCCGAGGGAGCCGGCGTACAGCTTCTGGGTCATGTGACCAGCATGACTAAGCCGCTTCTGGTGAACCAGAGCAGCGCACGGAAACGCCGTTTACCTTACCTATTTATCTACTTGCACTTTGACGTGCTTTCAAACTGCTAGGTTGGCAGGAGCAGGGACCGAGCAACAGGAGCTCACCCCGTCGTGGGGATTTTAACCGCTGATCTTCTGATCAGCAAGTCCTAGGCTCTGTGGTTTACCCCACAGAGCCACCCGCGTCCCAGACTCCTTAGGGTAGTGATAAAGTGGGATATCAAATCCAAACTCTTCTCTTCTTCTTCTTATATATCTGGGGTGGCCAACTCCCAAGAGACTGCGATTTACTCACAGAGTTAAAAACTAGCAGTGATCTACCCCCTTTTTTTGGGCTTCTGGTCAAAGTTGTTGAGTTTTTATTTAGGAAGGAGGAAGGCCCATTTTTGGGAGGTTCGGGTCAAAGTTGTTGAGTTTTTTCAGGGAGGAGGTAAAATGTTGAGCTTTTCTTAGGGGAGCCATAGTTGTTCAGCTTCTTTGGGGGGAGCCAATGATCTACCAGTGATCTACCGCAGACGTCCAGTGATCTACCTGTTGGACATGCCTGTTATACATCATAAGTCACTTTGAATTACCTTGGTAAAGAAGCAACCAATAAAATATAACAAATAACAAAAACAAACACATAAACATAGCTTTGTCTTTTCTCTATGGACCCACTTAAAGAAATATTGGCCCATTATTTATATGACTTATAACTGAACCATAAATAAATTTGCATCATAATAAAAATGCCCCCCCACCAGCATGTTTTCTTTTGTTTTGAGATGCCATGCACACCATCACTGAATAGGCATTCCCTCCTACCTGTAAGATAAGGGAAAAGTATTTTAAAAGCTAACACCTATCACATGTAGGTATTTTGGGAAATTAAAGTGTCCCCAATTCATCAAACAATATGTGTGTGTTTTTAAATGCTAAAATTATTATAGTGGGGTGGGGGGGGTTTAATATAGGGAAAGATGATATAACAGGTACCCTGAACCCAAACTGTGAATAACTTTAAATGTAAGCAACAACACTTTGAATTGGACCCAGAAATGGTAAGGTAAAAGGTAAAGGATCCCTGGACAGTTAAGTCCAGTCAAAGACAACTATGGGGTTGTGGCACTCATCTCACCTTCAGGCCAAGGGAGCCGGCGTTTGTCCACAGAGTTTTCCAGGTCATGTGGCCAGCATGACTAAACCGCTACTGGTGCACGAAGGACCATGACAAGTGCCAGAGCGCACGGAAACGCTGTTTACCTTCCTACCGCAATGGTACCTATTTATCTACCGTATTTTTCGCCCCATAGGGCGCACCAGCCCATAGGGTGCACCTAGTTTTTTGGGGGGGGGGGATAAAGGGGAAAAATATTTTTCCCCCAGGCGCGGGGCTGGGGTGGGGGAAGCCCGAGCTTCCCCAGCCCCCAGAACAGGCTGCTATCCGCAGGGATGCAGGCAGCTCTCCGCAAGCCGCGGGAGGCTTGTGCAGAGCTGCGCGAAGCCCAAAACCTGGGGCGCGCTCCAGGCTTCGGGATGCAGGCAGCTCTCCGCAAGCCCAGGGAGCCCAGTGGGACCTCCCGCAGGCTCCCAAGGCTTGCGGATAGCTTCCTGAAGCCTGGAGAGTAAGAGGGGTCGGTGCGCACCGACCCCTCTCGCTCTCCAGGCTTCAGCGAAAGCCTGCATTCACCCCATAGGATGCACACACATTTCCCCTTCATTTTTGGAGGGGGAAAAGTGTGTCCTATTGGGCGAAAAACACGGTACTTGCACTGGCATGCTTTCGAACTGCTAGGTTGACAGGAGCTGGGACAGAACAACGGGAGCTCGCCCCATTGCGGGGATTCAAACCACCAACCTTCTGATCAGCAACCCAAGAGGCTCAGTGTTTTAGACCACAGCACCACCCGTGTCCCAGAAATGGACTGAGAGCCAGTGCAGATATCTCAGCACTAACAATATATTTTCCTTGTGCAGAGTCCCAGTTAGCAGTCTTGCAACAGAAGTTTGCACTAACTGCAGTTTCCAAACTGCAGTTTCAGAGGCAGCCCCATATTTAACACATTGCCTACATTGATCAGACATAGAAGTTAGCAGGGCATGGACAGAAGCAAGGCTTTCCTGTGCATGAGGGAGAAATACATTATTGTTACAAAAGTTGGGTGCCAGCCCCACAAGGCACGGTCGAGACTGTCATAACTTTAAGAAATGTGATTTATACACATACTTACACCTTCAGTCTGCATGGAGAGATTCCAGATCTTGCAGCATGGTCATTTCAAGAGGGGATTGTCCCCCACATAGTGCAGCCCTGGAGTCCAAGGCATTTCTCCCAGCCTGCCTTCAGCCAGCCTGCCCAAGATATAGCTCTCTTTTTTCTCCCTTCTTTTTCCCAGCACACTTTTCTAAAAAGACTATTTTCCTGTCACCTCACACACATACCCCATCACCATGGCAACCTCTGTCTGCCTAGGGCCAAGGATTCCTCTTTGGTGGGCCATCAACCCTTTTTGTCATGCTAATGCCTGTATCCCAGGTGAGGCCCTGACTTGGAAGGAAACTTAGCCTGTACTTTTCCACTGGCTTCCAATCTTCACTTCAATACTCCAAATAATCAAAATCCTACCATTTATTAATTTCTACGGTTTGGGGAGGGTGTCCCCTACACCCAAGCATTATTGTCCTTGCTGGTCATTGACCGTATTAAAGATATTTGAAGCATTATTGTCGCTGAACTAAATCAGACCACCTGACCACTTACAGATCAGTTGGTGGCCCTTACCATTTACTTTTGTTGTTCATTTCTGCTGGCCTTGATTTTTATTTATTTCTTTTACCTCTTTATGTTCTCAACAGGTGGTGAGGAAGGATTCTTGCTCTTGCAGGATTAGCTTTAGCACTTAGTTTTCTCTGCTAATCCGCTGGGGGAGTGAAAGATGAGCTCTGAAGGACAGGATAAGCCCACTTGTTTTTCCATCAGCAGCTGGAAAACTTTCCTCAAAACAACCTTAACCTTTGGTGTATTTCTCACTGCATTTTGGGTTGTGCTACTTCAAGCTTCAGAGCCTAGGGCTTGCCGATCAAAAGGTCAGCGGTTCGAATCCCCACAAGGGGGTGAGCTCCTGTTGCTTGGTCCCTGCTCCTGCCAACATAGCAGTTTGAGAGCATGTCAAAGTGCAAGTAGATAAATAGGCACTGCTCTGGTGGGAAGGTAAACGGTTTTTCTGTGCACTGCTCTGGTTTTCCAGAAGCAGCTTAGTCATGCTGGCCATATGACCAGGAAGCTGTATGCCGGCTCCCTTGGCCTATTGAGCGAGATGATCGCCGCAACCCCAGAGTCGTCCGCAACGGTCAGGGGTCCCTTTACCTTTACTTCAAGCTGCAGGTGGTGACTCCCATCAGTGAATGCTCCTAAGGTACACAACCCCCCATATCCCCCCAAATACCATGGTTAGTTGGTGAGAGCAGAGTTATACCCTAGCCTTCTTCGCTGATATTAGAATTCAGTGGCTCGCAAAATAGGCAGTACCATCCCGGAGCGGGGGGGGGGGGTAACCTGTGTGAGGGCCACTGGAACTGTACTTGATTATCAGATTTTGAAAAGCTGATATCAATAGATCAAGTTCATCAGGTTTGTTGAATTAATTGAAATACTTTTAACTGGATTTTGAATAAATGTGCAGTTGATCATTATTAATTCAATTTATATACTGCCCTTTGTCAAAAGATCCCAGGGCAGTGTACAACATTAAAAACACATTACAGAACATAAATGATAAAAACATAATCAAAAACTTAATTAAAAACATACTGACAGGCAGCCCAATAATAATATAGTCATCCTAATAGCAGTCCTCTCCCTCACATTTTCACAAGCCATAGCTTATTTAATAGCCATAGGCCTGGGTAAAGAGGAATGTTTTTGCCTGGAGCCTAAATACATGTATTGATGGCATCAGACAAGTCTCTCTGGGGAGAGCATTCCACAATCAGGGAGCCACTACAGAAAGGTCCCGTTCTCTTGTTGTTGCCCTCTGAACTTTAGCCTGGAGAAGAGGAGGTTAAGGGGTGATATGATAGCCATGTTCAAATATATAAAAGGATGTCACATAGAGGAGGGAGAAAGGTTGTTTTCTGCTGCTCCAGAGAAGCGGACACGGAGCAATGGATCCAAACTACAAGAAAGAAGATTCCACCTAAACATTAGGAAGAACTTCCTGACAGTAAGAGCTGTTCGACAGTGGAATTTGCTGCCAAGGAGTGTGGTGGAATCTCCTTCTTTGGAGGTCTTTAAGCAGAGGCTTGACAACCATATGTCAGGAGTGCTCTGATGGTGTTTCCTGCTTGTCAGGGAGTTGGACTCGATGGCCCTTGTGGTCTCTTCCAACTCTATGATTCTATGATTCTATGAACTTCTCTGGAATGGGGGATATATAGAAGGGCCTTAGATGACAAGCACAGGGTCGGGTCACTTTGTATGGGGAGAGGTGAGCCTTATAGTATTGAGCTCCTGAGCCATGTTATAGGTCAACACCAGCACTTTGAATTGGGCCCGGAAACTAATCGGCAGCCAGTGCAGTTGTACCAGGATTGGTGATATATGCTCAAACCAGCATGTTCTGGTGAGCAATCTGGCCATTGCATTTTGCACCAGCTGAAGTTTCTGAACTGTCTTCAGAGGCAGCCCCACGTATATCACATTGCAGTAATCCAACCTAGAGGTTTCCAGAGGAGGCCACAGAAATCAGGCTATCCCTGTCCAGATAGGGGCACAGCTGAGCCAACAGCCAAAGCTAACAGAAGGCATTCCACACCACCGAGGCCACCTGGGCCTTAAGCAACAGAATGGATCCAGGAGCACCCCCAAGCCACGTACCTGCTGCATAAGAGGGACTGTAACCCTCTCAAGAGCAGGTAATCTTCCACCTAACTGTTCTGGGGAACCACTCACTAACAGTGCCTCAGTCTTACCTGGATTGCGCTTCAGTTTGTTGGCTCTCATCCAGTCCATTACCGAGGCAAAACAGTGGTCCTGCACATCCACTGCCTCACCTGCAGATGTACAGCGGTATCTCGGGTTACAGACGCTTCAGGTTACAGACTCCGCTAACCCAGAAATAGTACCTCGGATTAAGAACTTTGCTTCAGGATGAGAACAGAAATCGTGCTCCAGTGGTGTGGCAGCACAGGAGGCCTCATTAGCTAAAGTGCTGCTTCAGGTTAAGAACAGTTTCAGGTTAAGAACGGACCTCCGGAATGAATTAAGTTCTTAACCTGAGGTACCACTGTAAAGGAGAAACAGAGTTGTCTGTCATTAGCATACTGCCAACAGTGCATGCCAAAACTCCAGATGACTCCATTCAGTGGTATTATTAAACAACATGGGGCATAGAATTGAGCCCTGAGGGACACAGGAGGATACAGTGGTCTAACATGTAATCCACCAGATGTTGTTGGATTCCAACTCCCATCCCCCCCTGATATCTGGCCATGCTGGCTGGGGGGATGATGGGAGCTGTAGTCCAACAACATTAGGAGGGACACAGCCTCTCTGCTCCCTGTTTTAGATCCATATTTGCCACCCACACTTAACCTTTTCAGAAGAGTGTAAGAGGTGTGAGCTCAGATGCACCAATAAAGGCAGATGTTAGATTTCTTGAGTATAATGCTGTTTCACTTATTCAACAATAGATAATAGTTCTAGTATTTGCTTTAACACAGTTCTTTTCTATGCTAGCTGCCTGACACACACAACTCCCACCTTCAGTCTTTCCCTGGCTGATCAATCAGACTCCAATGCCCCAACCTGTAATCAGCACAACACTGTTACCTACTAGCAGATATCTCACAGAACAAGCAAAATGAGGCAGGCAGAAAACATCGGCACACTCTTGCTGGCTGGGAGAGAAGATCAGGCAGAGCAAGGAACGTGCAATGCAATCCATCCTCTCCCTGCTTCTTCCTCTGTAGGTCTGCCCCTTCCTTGTACAGTGGATGCTCGGGTTGCGAAGGTGATCCATGCAGGAAGCACATTCACAACCCGCAGCATTCGCAACCCACAGCGCCGCGTCTGCACACACGGGTTGCAATTCGGTGCTTCTGCACATGTGCAAGTGCCGAAACCCAGAAGTAACCCGTTCCGGTACTTCCATGTTTGGCGCGGTGCACAACCCGAAATCGCGCAACCCAAAGTGTCTGTAACCCAAGGTATGACTGTACTTTGATGATAGGCCCGGAAAGTTCTTGCCAGTTGTTTTTGTTTTTTTATCAATCTTGTTAAAAAAATTGAAAACAGGAACCTTCAGTTTAGCCACATGAACAGCTGTCTAATCTCCCCATCTGTCATTTCCGTTAATCAGAAAATTGCCATCCCCCCCCACAAATCATACTGGCCCCCTGCTTTCCTAGCAACCTTAATCTTTTTCAGAAATCTGATGAAGTAATTGCTTGTGTTCTACCACTCCAGTAGTGGAGCTGGATAACTGCTGCTTCTTGGAAAGCGTAGGTGATGCAGAAGGCATAGAATATCCTGGGGGGTGTTGTGGTTGCTATAGCAATTTATCACCTGCCCTTTTGCCCAAGGTCCCAGGGCAGGTACTTTGGCTGATTGGATACAGCTGGGGTGTGGGTGTTGGCCAAGGTCCTGTTTTGCTATAAAAGCAAGCGCTGCCACACTTTCCACCTTGGGAGCAGACCTACAGAAGACGGCGCGGGCTGGTTTGCACCTTTCCAGCCCCTGCCCTGGTCTGCTCTCCAAGCCAGCAAGAAGGTGCTGAGCTTTTTTTCTTGCATCGGGCTCATTTATCCTGAGAGGTAAATCAGGGGTGGGGAACCTCTGGCCCTCCAGGTGTTTTTGGACTCCCAATTTCCATTGCCCCAGGCAATGTGGCCAATGGTCAGGGGATAAAGTCCAGCTACATCTGGAGGCCCACAAGGTTCCCCACCCCTGAAGTAACAGGGTCTTTGTAGAAAGTATGCTCGTACTTATAGCACATCTTAAAACCTGCAAGAATTCTCAAAGCAGAGATCGTCACTGCAGTTTTCATGGTTCCACTCTCGATGCCGCTTATAAGTAAGTAAATGTGAGATAACAGCTGTCTAAATCTTAGGGTTACGATCTTTAAGTCTCAACTGTATGCACACTTACCTGGAAGTAAGTCTCTGACTGAACTCAGTGAGACTTCCTTTTGAGTAGATTGCATAGGATTGTTAGTTCATTAACTGGTTATATTGATTACCCATTGTTAATTACTTTTAATTGTATTAATATTTAACTTGCTTTTTCTGTATTTAAACTGTTTTCCCCCTGTATTTATATTACAAATAATATTTGTCATAGTGAATTACAGCGTTTTTATTTTTATTTTTTAAAGTGTTTGTGTTATCTGTCAAACCTAGCTCTTGAGAGATGGGGGAGATTATGATCTGGCAGGCAGGAGTTTTAGGTTTCAGTAGGTGGTGGGATTCTGTCTTTAATCTTGCACTCGCTCGCTCCCCCCCCCATTTAAATATTTAAAATACTGGTTATAACGAATTGCAGTATAGAGAAAAGCGTTACCTGCCTTGAGATGATAGGATAAGCATGGGAATCATCGCACCAAAGAACCAGTGCGTGACTTGTAGGAAACAAAACCCGCATTGTGTGTTGGGATTGCGGGTGTGCAGGGTTGAGTTTCATCCTTTTCACGTTTCTGCCTTGCATTTCCAGTCTCGCTGCAGGATATCAACATGCGGAAAGCTTTCAAGAGCTCCACCATTCAGAACCAACAGGTGGTGTCTCGCAATTCCATCCCAAACCCTGTGATGGAGATGTACCAGCGGTGCGATAAGCCCCCACCGCTCAACATCCTTACTCCTTACAGGTAGGGCATTTGGCTAAAGAGTCTCTGTTACTAACTCTGTACCCATTTGGGGAGTCTAATAAGTTTAAAAGAAATTGTCCCGTGATGGTTAGCTTATGCAATTTAGGTGTTCCTTCACAGCAATGTGAATGTTTTCCTTACTGATAATTTACCGTATTTTTCGCTCTATCAGACGCACCCGACCATAAGACGCACCTAGTTTTAGAGGCAGAGAACAAGGGGGAAAAAATTCTCTCCCTCTTTGCTCAGCGCCTCTCCAGCGAAGCGGCAGAAGAAACAGAGCCCCTTCCATTTCTCCTGCCACTTCGCTGAAAGGGTGCTGCGCAGAGAGGGAAAGCTGCACAGTGCCTCTCCAGCGAAGCGAAGCCAGGAGAGCAAGAGGGATCGGTGCGCTCTTGCTCTCCTGGCTTCAGTGAAAGCTGCGCAGCCTGCATTCACTCCATAGGATGCACACACATTTCCCCTTACTTTTTAGGAGGGGGAAAGTGCGTCTTATAGAGCGAAAAATACGGTATTCTCTTTGAGGGTTTTTTTTTTTAAATCAAGTGGTGTATAAATTTTATGAAATAAAAATTAAAATAGTTCTCTCTCTCTACCTCTCCCTCCCCCCTCAACCCCCCCCACTTGCTCTTTCTAGAGATGACAAGAAAGACGGTTTGAAGTTTTACACGGACCCTTCATATTTCTTCAACTTGTGGAAAGAGAAGATGCTGCAGGCAACAGAGGACAAGAGGAAAGAGAAACGCAGGCAGAAGGTACATTTTTGTGAAGGGGGAATATATAGGAGTTGGGATTCAGGTAGTCTCTATAGAGCACATAAGCAGATAATCTGCCTGTCTAGAGATGATTGAAAGAGGAGAATTCTCACACCCCACCGGAGATTAAATGCTAAATAAATGGTTGATTACAAAAAGTTTTAATTGGGTTTTGATTAAATATGCAATTCATTGTTACTGCTTTGAATTTTATTGTGTTATCTTTCTTAGTGGATGGTGAATAATGCTTTTTGTAGGTTAGGGTAGGGGGCACTGGGCATGAGTGTACAGAATCAAGGGGGCAGTGACCCCACTGTTATAGAATAACCTAGACAACCTCAGAATACATGTGCGTGACCACATTTTTGAATCACCTGCATTATGAAAAAACAAACAAAGCACAGATCTCAGTAAATAAGGAGTGTGTTGAGCTGAAAGCATTCTCACCTTTCGTAGTGCTGGGGTTTGTTTTTTTCTTGTAAGGAATTATTTACATATGGGAAACTCAAATATGCACACACGTGCACGCATGCGCGCACACACACACACTCACTCACACACATTAAAAAGAAACCCTCAGACTCTGCAGCCTGAAGGTGGTGTATTCTGTTTTTACCCCTTGGGGATTCTGTTCTATTGTGGAGGCCAGCCAAGCCTTACAATTCACATCAGTAGCAGAAAGGTGGTTGACACAGCAGATACTTTACTCTGTTTCTCTGCAGGAGCAACGGCTGGTTGAAGACTCCACCAGGGAAGTGAAGAAAGTGCGAAAGGCTCGCAACCGGCGGCTGGAATGGAACATGATGGCATACGATAAGGAATTCCGGCCCGATAACAGGTTCTCACCATCCCCATATCACATGGCCTCATCGGAAGGATCACTGTCCCCAGATAATAGGCAGGTTTTATGTATTACACGCTTCGCTCGATCTTTTTTCTTTCTTTTGCTGTTTTTGGGCTTGATTATTGTTTGACTTATTATTATTTTTCTGGATGCTTTTATTGCTCACAACAGCAAGGGTTCTGATCTGACTAGCTGGAGGTTCAGGGAAATGAGGCCTTTTGACAAACTCTCCCCCTGCCCCAAATAAAAAAAACCCCAATGTTTGTTGCTCTGGGGCTGCTAAATCATTGCATGGGCTTTGCTGCTGCATTCACATGATGCTGAGATAAGAAGTCAGTGTGCTGTTTGGAGCACAAGTTAGGAGTGCTTAAACCCCTATAGAAGGCTAATCTCTTAAACTGTGGTGCTAACTTCCTAATCCATGCCTGCTCCATCCTTGCTGCATGTGTGTGTTCCTTTTAGAGTGTGCGTGTGCGTGTGCGTGTGTGTGCATGTGTAAATGTGTGTGTGTGTGTGCGTGCACACACACACACACACACACCATGCCTTGATCCCAGCAGCTGATAGATGTCATCTTAATTTTCCCTTCAGTTTGGCTCCTTCCATCCACCCACCCTATTCAGGAGTACAACCTTTTGGTGTTTTTGTGTGTGACAGATCTTATGCGTCAGATGCAGCTGATCACTCATACCCGGCCAGCCCTAACCATCCTGCCCAGCAGATATTAGCTCCAGCCTCACACCTGTCAGCAGACAACAAAGAGGTCATCCTGGTGGCTAACCAGGCCCAGGAACATGTCTACAGGCCCTCAGCAGCAGGAAGCCGGCAGAACAGTCTCAACCGGGTCCAACAGCCCCATGTACCGCAGCCGTCAGAGACTATGCTAAATGGACCGAGGCCTCAGATAGTCAAGGATTATGGGTATGGATTCCTGCCTGCTTTCCTTCCCCTGTTAGGTGTGGCTTTCTGCTTTCAGAAAGAGAGTTTGGCACTTTCTAAAGCTACCAGGGTATTGATAGTGTAGGAAACTTGTGTAGGAAAGGTGTTTAGAAGCAGAATGCAGTCAGATCCATGGATAGCCAAGGAACTGGGAAACTTGACCCCAACCCCTTTCTTTGCCATTGATTTATTTTTTATTTTTGGTATGGCCAAGCTCAAGTTTCCACCCTTTGGTTTCCACATTGGAAAGCAGCTGGTCCAGAGATCAGATGATTACAAGGAATACAGCTGTATTCGTCAATCCTGGGAAACATGAGGAAAATATAAATATTCCTCTTTAAATACATTTATTGGAAGATCATATGGGTTTTCCCCATGGTAGGGCAGGCTTGCATTCTGTAAAACCAGCTGGCAACAATATGGTTGCACAGAGGCTGCTCATTGGTACAGTAATGTGAGTGACAATCTAAATCCTACCAGGACTCCCAAGAGAGAACTTGATTGTATATTAATCACTGTTCATCCCTTCATGTAAATGCCAGCCAGCATCCATTTCGCCCAGCCTGGGAAAGTGCTGGCATCTGAAACAGCACTGAATGCTGCTGGCTTTCTCTGGTGGCCACAAGGGCAGGCTGACTTCGCTCCGTTAGGCTCAGCAAGAATCCCCTATCATTTCCCTGCATCCTTTACTCACCTAGCACCTTTCCCCTTGATTAAGTTCTGTCCCAGTTGTTCCTAGTCTTTGTCATTACTCGGTAAATGAATGCTGAAAATTGAGCTTAAGACCCAAATTCTGCCATTCCCATGCTGCTCTTGACCCCCTTTTGCATGGAGGCCCATGGGCAGAATTTACTCCCTCATTGTTAAGTAAGTTGGCATGTAAATTCTTGCAAATCATTTTTTTCCTCCTTTGGAAGAAGAGGCATCCCCATTGGAAAAATCAAACCATGTGCAAGTCCTTGTAGGATCAATGGCTAAGGGCTGATATGTAATGAGCTTCAAAAGCCAGGCTTGAAAAGAGACCAAGGGGGCTGCATAGAAAATATAGAAATGCAATAGGCTGACAACTATAGTTGGATGATCTGTAAAATGTGAAATAGCACTTCTAGACAAAGGGCTTATCTATACTTAGCTTTTGCCCTGCACTTTATAGCAACAGGTCCTTGCTTCAAAGCTCCATGTCCAAGTGTCCTTTTCCTCTCGGGACTTTCCCCTACAAAAACCTGTTCTTTAAAGCTGAAGTGCAACAATTCAGGTTTTCCGTGGATTGCTATTTGCTCTGATTCATTGGTAAAGAGTGGGTTTTTGCAGGAAATCTCCGGGGGCAGGGAAGCGGGGAGTGCTCAGATGGAAAATGTGGAGGAAAGTTAACTGTGAATGAGCCCTATGTGTGCAAACAACGGACTGTCTTTTTCAGGACTATGGACAGCAGACAGCAAGAGAACAGTTACTTTTCCTATGAGATTTTTGTCTGGAAAAGGATTTTATTAAACTTGCCAGTCAGTTTTTCACCATGCAGATTGTTGTCCAAACAGACACAATTAGTATTAAACATGTATGCAATCTGAGCATGAGATTTGTGCACACAGAGTAGTGAGTACATTTGGGAAGCTCATCTGAATGCTAGTTGTGAGGAATCACAGGTGGGGGAGGGTGCTGTTGCACGCAGATCCTGCTTGCTGTGAGGTCTGTGAGATCTGTGAGATCAATATGGTGGACTAAATGGGCCTTTGGACTGATTCAGCAGGACTTTTCTGATGTGTGTGTGTGTGTGTGTGAATTTTATTTTTTAAAATCTCCTTAGATGCTGCTGTTAGAAGGTATAGTGGGTAATGATAACCAACATGAAATGGTTTTATGCAACCTAATTATTACATTAATTGGGAAAGGGCCATAGCTTAGTGGTGCAGCATCTGCTTAGCATGCAGAAGGTCCCTGGTTCATTCCCTGGCATTTTGAGGGGACTGGAAGAGACCCCTGCCTGAAACCCTGGCAGTAGCACTTCTTTTTTACCCCTTCTCCAAAAATTAGAGGTTTTAGTCTAGTTTACTATGGTCCCTCAGTCTTTACTGCTTAACTGCTTGCCTAGGATAACAAAAGGTTTTTGCACATCTTGGTGGGTCATGAGTTGGGCAAGCTCAGCACAGGAGTTTGTTAGCAACTGGACTTTCTTGCACTAGTACTGGTTGCCATTCTGTATCTGGGTGCCTGCCATGTCTGAGTACTGTGAAAATTCCCATGTATGTGGGACTGTATCTGCTCTAGTTTGCTTACTTCGAGGGAGGAGCTGCCTTTAACCATAGCTCTAGCTCCAAAGTTGTACAGCAGTTTAGAAGGGCTAAACTTAAAATAGCCTAATTCTGTGACCTGAGCTGCTCATCTGTTTTTGTTTCCATTTTATTATAGATGCAATAAAATATCCATAAAGAAATAATCAAACAATTACAGCAGGTTGAAAACAACATAAGGTTGAGCAGTATCATTAAACTTGCTGTTCCTAAACATTACAAAAAAACACAAATTCTTCCAAAACCTATTAGGTTGATTTATGTGTATTATTTTATAATTAGTTAACTCAATCAACTGTTACTATAGACTAGGGTGTGTCCCCCGCCCCAAAAAAGCCCTTAACATATATTAGGAGATATAACCTCACCCCTCCATTTTTAGCTATCATAATCTTAGCAGTTATAAGGTTGATCACTATTTTTCGATCATTTCCATAGATAACACCTTCCAGATAACAAATTAGAAATATTTTCAGTTTTAACAGTGAGCAGTATTAGAAACATTAGCCTTTTGAAACAGATTTTCAAAATGTTTGTATCTGAAAGAAGTTCCAAAAGATGTGTCTGTAATTCACTTTACTCAGTCCACGTATCTAGCATTTGTCTGATGCCAACCTATATATTAAGTTTAACTTGTAGATTTTTTGTATGTGCACCATGTTTGATTGGGCCAGAGTCTGTTTCAAATTGTCTCTTTCCCTTTCTCGTTTCAGCCCCCAGCAAGTGCCAATGGCCGAGTACTTTGTGCCACCTGCTCCCCCTCCCCCTCCCCCGGTGATACCCTCCGCTCAAACTGCCTTTGACAGCCCTATCTCTGCCCCTCCCACCATGGCGTCCAATGCAGCTGCCACTGCTGCTCACTCCTCTTACGCACCTTCCCCTCCACCGGCCCCACCTTGCCCCTACTCTGCTTCTCCCCCTCAGACTGGCCCAATGGGGCCCCCTGTTGCACCTCCGCCCCCTCCCCCTGGACCCCCAACAATTACCACCTCACCAGCTCACTTGGCCTCTCCCCCAGCCATGACGGTTGAACCACGGAAGCCTCAGTTCCCGCTGATACCAATGAGTGATGCCAGGAGCGACCTGCTTGCTGCAATTCGTAGAGGTGAGCACCGGCTTTTTCTGTATAGCAATATTCCCTCCCGCAAAGAGTCCACATTTTTTTATTTATTTGTTTGTTTGCTTTTGAAATTCTAAAGGGTAAAAATAAAGTGATTGGAAGCCATTAAACAATGCTCATCCAAACAGCATGTACAGGCATCAGTGCTTCCAATAGTACCTTCCATGGCACCCATGAAAGGTCTCAGTAAATATCTCATCCAAATCCACCATTTGTGAGAGGCTGGCTGCTCTTCCGCCTCAGTTCCTGTTTGCATTGGCTTGACCTCTCGTTCTCCTTAAACAGGAGACTTGTAGAGTGCTTGTCTTTGTGAGTGAGCATGGTGTATGATGACTGCTGTAGATGTATTTTATCCCCTTAATGGGAGCAGTGGGGCATCCAAGCCCACTCCATTTTGTGGTCATGCCTCTTTTTCTGCTGTTTTATTTGTGGTAGTCATTTTCTTTTATGCCATGCTCTATGGCAGCTATTTTTGTGGTTGGTGCCCACACCACATTTTCAGAATTCCAAAGGTGTCCAAAGGCCCCAAAAGGTTAGCTGCCCCTTAACGAATGCAGAATTAATTAGTATCAAACGAATAGTGACTGGGAAGGCCTGTTTTGGCCAGGCCTGTACAAATTGATCACTGTCCCACAATTCCATCTACTCCCACCTTTCCATGGCTAAGAGGAGAAGTGAAGTTCCATTTCCCTCTACAGTTGGGGAGGAAGCAATGCCTATTGTTTGTGCTGAGCTGTGGAGGGTTCAGTGCAACTGCAGGGGAAATCTCAGTCCAACCTCTGTAGCTCCAAGCTGGAAATGGAAGCTAGAGGTGGATGTCTAGGTAATCAGGCCCTTTGGCACCAGGTGCCAAGACAAGCCCCAGATTTTCCTCCGCCTTTAGCAAGGAAAAATGGGTGGATAATGGCCACTCGAGCTTCCTAACAGCAAAACAAGCCCCAGCTCCAAATTTGGAACTAGAGGTTGGTGGGGATTGCCCCTGCTGTTGTGCTGGGCTTCTCAAGGTGATCGATTCCTGCATTTCAGGGTGTTGGATTTACTAACCCTTTGGGGGTTAGCTCTACAGATCTGTTTGTAAGCTCAGTGTAGCTGCTGGGACCCCAGTTGGGACTTGGGAAGGGAACAGGGATTGTCTTTCATGGCTTGGAGTCTCAGTGTGAAGTCAGGTCCCAGCAACACACCTGCTCAGAAGCCAGTCCTCCAAAGTATTTCTTCCTTTGCAAATGCAGGGATTCAACTCCGGAAGGTCCAAGAACAATGGGAGCAAGAGGCAAAGAAAGAGCCAGTGGGCAATGACGTGGCGACAATCCTCTCCCGCAGAATCGCCGTCGAGTACAGTGAATCAGATGATGACTCGGAGCTGGACGAGAATGAATGGTCAGATTGAGAAGGGGCAGAGTGCTGCCTTGGGGAGGATTCCCCCAAGTTCTTTTTGCCACCTTTCCACAGCCAGGTGTGTGTGTGTGTGACCGGGTGCCCCTGCGGGTAAATTCCAGCTGCTGCCAGCAGCTCATGTCCAGTGAGCTTTGCTTTCATGCCATGTTGCACTGTTGAAATTTTTTTAAGGTGGCCTCTTTGTGGGCAAGTGTGCATTAGTGACTTTTGTCTTTTGAAAAAAAGCATTTGGTGGTGGTAGACCAGCAGTTGACCATTTTTTTCCTCCAGGTGTGAGAAATGGTATTTTAGGCTTTGAAAGTCCTGGAAAAGCTAAAACAACAATCACAACTCACTCCTGGTTCAGTTGTCAGTGTGGTCTATTACAGCTTAAGCTATGGTCTCAGAGAATAACATGCAGATTGAGGGAGCAGTCAAACACAAGAGACAAAGTTTTAAGCTTATTTAAGCAGATGCACTTTCTGTGCTCCTGGGTATGAGTGGGAAGCCTTCTTTCTGTGTAGAGTACTGCCGTGTGGTGTCATCGGTTAGAGGAATGTGCTTTTACACGCTTGTAAAGTTTCCTCTATGGCTTAACATTTCAGAGGCAAGTTCCAGAGAAGTAGCCATGTTAGTCTATTGTGACAAAAGCAACAGAGTTCTGTGGCACTTTAAATTATCATGATGTCAGCTTTCAGGTGTCAAAGGTCACTTCATCACATGCATGGGAAGTCACTTAAGAAGGTACAGAGAGAACTAAAACATGTTGTTGTTGCTGGTTACAAAGTAGGGCTAAAACATAGCAGTAGGTGTATTTCACTGTGCAGACTGCCAGTCAATACCAGAGCCAATCGAGTGAATATGTCATTATAAGAACATAAGAAGAGCCTGCTGGATCAGACCAATGGCCCATCTGGTACAGCATTCTGATCTCACACTGGCCAATCAGATGCTTATTGGAAGCCCAAAAGCAGGACTTGAGGGCAATAGCACTCTGCCCTCCTGTGATTCCCAGTATTCAGAGTCATTGTGTGGTATTAATGATATAGGCAGTTTTACTAAATATAAGGCATTGCAAAACCTAGTAAGTGCACCATGTTAGACAACAACCACTTTATTCTGTCTGTACTAAGGGATAAGAACATGTAAGTGATCATATCATGCATGTGACAAAGTGAACTCTGATCCACTAAAACACCTGTTTAGGCAACCATTCCCCTGAATACAACCTGTGATTTCATTGTTTTAACTGTTCCTTTTTTTAAAAAAAACACCCCAACTGTGTTTATTGTTATACTTTTTAATGGTTTAGTGCTTGGGGCTTGAGCTACAATTCTTTCTGCACTTTTCTGAAAGCCAGTCCCACTGATTATAGCAGGACTTACTTCAGGGTAAACTTAAATTAGAAAGCACTGCACATGAAGAGTAACTGAAGTTGAATTTATGGCCAGTTCCTTCTTAAACACTGCTCCCAAGTTGTGACAAAGTGCTGTTTGCATGTGGCACCACTGTTTGGCCCTTGGCATGGTAAACAGAAACAAACAAAAATGAAAGGTCAAAATGGTAAAATAGCTTGCTTTGCATAATGTATCCACCTTTCCAAAGTCAGTTTTTCTTGGTTGAGAATCACTGCCAAGTGCCTCCATCTTTCCATTCTGAAACCAGAGGGAAATCTCAGTCTTGTCTTGGCTCTGATGCTCGTAACTTCTGTTCCAATCATTGCTCAAACATCCATCTCAGTACTTCCCCTTCAGCTTGGGGTTGCAGACAAAGGGCTCTTCCCTCCCCAAATCTCAGCTGCAGAGGAGGTTGGGGCCCCTCTTCTCACCCTTGCCAAAGAGTAGCGCAGCAATCACCGTGGAATTGGTGGTAGATAGAATTGCAGACCTTCCTCTGTGACATCAGGATAGAAAATGTGGGGGAAATAAGGTGGTGGGCCAGTCAGGTATGGTGTTGGTTGTGTTTGTAAGCTGTTTGGGATTGTTAGCCGTTTTAGAGATAAATAGTTAATAATAGAAAACAATTTCCGTAGAATGGTTGGGGCAGTGGGGTTGGGAAGTTACCACTACAGTGTTCAAAGGTTAGCCCTGTGCATTATGTGTCTAGCAGACAACCGGGTGCACTTTAGGGATGATACCTTATATAACAACATCATAATAAGCTAAGCATTCCCTGTGATTGGTTATTGTTGTACTGTATTAGTATAGTGGCTTTGATATAGTGGCTTTGATATGAAGCATCTGTTAAAAGGGTTAGGTTCATTTCTTCTCTCTCTCACCTATATTATTCTAGAAGAATATATGTTAGCATTTATTTTCAAAGAATATATCTGCATAGTGAAGAGATGTATTTGTTAAGCTTTTATTTTGTGTTGATTAGTTAACGTAGTTGCTAGGTCCTAGGGGCTCTGATTTGGGAAGAGGTGTTGAACAGCTTCCTCTTAAAGACTGATCAGATAGGCAGAGTTTTGAATCAGAATTTAAAGGCTGCATTTAAAGGCTTGACTTGCTCATACATGTGACAAGAACAGGAAAGGTTGCATGGAATATTTTGTTCCCCCGTTCATTATAACATCTGAGGGTGGCAGGAGGCAGAGAGGACAGATTTCTCTCTCAGCAGAAGGTTGAGCCTGGTCCAGGAAAATCCATATTATAAGTATTGGGACTAAATTAGGATATACATGTGGTAAAACGATATGGCGGGTAAACTGGTCCCACGTTGTTCAGGGCTCTATATACTAATAGTAACACCTTAAACTAGGCCCCATTAGCAAATTGGCAACCAGAGCAGGTTTCTGAACACAGGTGCTGTCTGTTAGCAAGGTCTCACTCCTGTCAACAATCTTGCTGTAGCATTCTGCACTACCTGCAGCTTCTGGGATCAAGCTGCCAAACTGAACAGTTGATTCCTTGCAAGTGCAGAACTCCTTTGACATTCTTTTTTTCTTAGTCCAGGTTCTGACCCATGATGCCACTGAGAGACAAAGTGAACAGCTTTGCCATCACTGTGCTCTGCTTGGCTCTTACCTTGTTTTTCAGTGGTGGCCAATGCCCATTGAGACTGGTAGGATGGAAGGCAGGGAGGCCAACAGTAGGTGGAGCTAGAGCTCATGCCAGGCCCAGATTACTAATTCTCTTTCTGTCCCCACCTCCCTCCCTGCTGAGCTGTAAGTAAGCAGGGATGCAGGCTGGAAGCACACTGAGGTTGGTGGTGCTCGGCCCCATTCATCCTAACGGACCAGCCTGCACTGATGTTTCTTCTGGCTTATGAGCTTCCACCTACTAGCATGAGATTCTGTGCACTTGTTCATAGAGAGGACAAAATCAAGTAAAACTAAATAGTCTTTCTCACTCTGCCTTTGTCGCCCAACAGGACCAGGCATCCATCTCTGCAAGGTTGGAAGCAATGATTAATTTGCATACTGAAATTTAAGACTGTAATTTGCCCCCACCCAGGTCTTTGTGGTAAGAGGGGGGAAAATAACCAATTGATGGCATCTGGCTATCAGAATTCAAGCTTCTTGTGGCAGGATTTGTGTGTCGCTCTTAGTTGTCTCTTTTTGGGTTAGGCATCAATTAATGCAGCATTATATATAGCAAACTATACCGGGAACGGTACTACTGAATTAAGCTTCACAGTTTAGAGCAGCTGCTGAAGAATACAATCTGTAAAAAAGGCTTCCTTCTCATTCTGTTTGGGTGCCTCTGCCAAAAGTTAAGCCAGGCAGGGTTATGCAACCCCCAGCATTCAAAAATTCCTAAAAAAGATAATAAGGCCCAAACTGCTCCATCTCAATTGGCAGTCCCTCGTTAATTTATCAATTTATTCATTTATACATCACTTGGTTGTTTTGCTTTTTTAAAAACAAACAATGGCATTATTAGTTAAAAACAACTATTTAAACATTCAGAAATAATTAAATTAATTAATAATTAAATAAGCAACATGCTAAAAACCAAATTAAAACACGTGCCGGCATTCTTACCTGTCTGAATAGGCTGGCCTATTCATCATCAGGAATGCAAATTTATAGGACGTAACTTTGCTGTTAGCTTCATGATGGCAATAATTAATATTCATCTGGCCCCTCCCTGGAGTTCTGTTGCATGCCCCTGAGCATGGTAGAAGTGGCAGCTGCCATCCCCATCACACAGCTCTGTGTGATTGAGTTGCTCACTGATTATACAGGCATTAAATAACTAAAAAATAAAGAAAGAAATAAGGTGGGTGAGTAGGAAGAACTGTATTTAGATTCAGGCATCATCGAACAAGAGATTCTTCTTGTCTTCATCCTCACATTGTGAAACGAATTTGAAAGTTCACTTTGGGATTGCATATAACCCTGTTTGAATTTCTAAGTAACCAAAGCAGAGTGATTACAACAACCCCAGACATTTTGATACCTGATCGTGTGTGTGTGTGTGTGTGTGTGTCCATGTGTGTGTGTGTGTCCCTCTCCTCTCCCTCTCCCTCTCCCTCTCCCTCTCCCTCTCCCTCTCCCTCTCCCTCTCCCTCCCCACTCCACAATTCCCTGTTCAGAAGCTGAGTGAATTCACAGTTGAATCTTGCTTCAACACTGGTGTTTACAATATAGTATCCTGCACGGCAGCTGAGGGCTAGAGTAGGCAGAGCAGGTGGTGTGACATACACAACATGAAATTTCCGATAAAGTAGTAAAGGAACTGACCGTTCAAATGTGAAGATTGTAGAGGCAGACTTGGCAAACTCTTCTGTGAACTGTCATGGCATGTAATCTAATGCATTTGGAAGCATAAAGTGGTTCCAGTCAGGTGTACATTTGCCCAATGGAGAAGGTTATGGTATCTTCCTGGGCAATGCTGCTTACAGATGCAACTCCATAGGCAGGCTGTTTTATGGCCATAGGGTGGTTCAGAATGGCTTCCTTTTATTTTCTGCTTGTTTTCATATCTAAAAAGCACTCTTTGGCTTTTGCATTATATAGGAATTGTTGCAATAATGTATTGTGTTTGTTGCAGTAATATATTCTGTATG